GACTACGTGGTGGAAGCAGACGCTAGTGACCAGGCAGTCGGAGCAGTACTGATGCAGGATCACGGACTCGGTTTGCAGCCCATCGCCTACCTCAGTAAGAAGCTACACGAAGCAGAACTCAACTACCCCATCCATGACAAGGAAGCCTTAGCGATAGTCATAGCCTTCAAGGCGTGGAGGTGTTACCTAGAGGGAGCCAAGACTAAAGTCTATACTGACCACTGCAGTCTCAAATACCTGAAGTCGCAGCCGACACTCTCACGACGACAGGTGCGGTGGGTGGACTTCCTGAAAACTCACTTCCACTACGACATCGTCTACAAGCCCGGGCTACACAACAAGGCAGACGCGTTGAGCCGCCCCGGACATGTAGCAGGCATCCAGCTCGACGGGATGAACCCTCTGCTCAAGGGTCTATTCCAACATGGGTACTCCGTGGACGCAGAGATCGCTACAGCACAGACTAAGAAGCTGTTACAGCGGGAGAAAGACTTAGCGGTAAGGAAGAGTTCAGGAAAGATTTGGGTACCGAATTACGCCCCGCTACGGCAGATCCTATTGGAGGAGTTTCACGACATACCATACGCGGGACATTTCGGGAGCAACAAGACGTTAGCAGGGATAGCGAAGTATTACTACTGGCCCGGGATGGCAGCAGACGTGCAGCAGTTCGTCACCTCTTGCGACACGTGCCAGCGGATGAAGAGTAGCAAGCAGAAAAAAGCTGGGTTACTTCAGCCTCTACCTGTACCGGAGCAGCCATGGCAGGTCGTTAGCCTCGACTTCATCACAGGACTTCCTTCGACCTCACGGGGGCACGATTCCATCCTCGTAGTAATCGATAAGTTCTCCAAAATGGGTCACTTCATACCGACCAACGCCACAGCTACAGCTGAAGCAACTGCTCGCCTCTTCTTCGACCGCATCATCACCATCCACGGCATCCCCGCTACACTCATCTCAGACAGAGACCCAAAATTCACCATTAAGTTATGGAAGGAGCTCATGGGACTGTTGGGGACAAAGCTTGCAATGTTTTCAGCATACCACCCCCAGACTGACGGACAGACAGAGCGACTCAATCAAGTGGTTGAATAGTTACTGCACACAGCTTGCAAGGACGACGTCAGCCACTGGGACATACAGTTACCGACCCTAGAGTTTGCTTACAACAACGCATCACATGCGGCCACAGGGAAAACTCCTTTCTTCCTGTGTTACGGCCGGGAACCACTCACACCACAGCAGCCAACCACACCGGCACACGTCCAAGCCGCACATGACTTTGTCACCACCATGCAGCAGCTATGGGAGAAGACTCAGCGACGACTCACCACGATGTAGACCTCCCAGAAGCTATATGCCGATCGTCAGCGACGTGATCACTCAGTAGCAGTCGGAGATCAGGTGCTTCTTGACATGCGCAAATTGAACCTGTCTCACCTCCCATCCAAACTCCGGCCTCGCTTCTGTTTTCCTTTTGCCGTTGAGGCACAGGTGACACCAGTTACATTCCGCTTGCGCTTACCAGATACGTGGAAGCTTCACAACGCTTTCCATGTCCAGCTACTGAAGCCCTACAAGGACCCCAACCAACGGTTCCAGGGACGCCAGCTACCGCAACCACCACCTGTTCTTGTACAGGATGAACCCGAGTACGAAGTGGAACGTGTTCTCACTCATCTGCGCCGCGGCGGCAAGACCCTCGAGTTCCTGATCCGCTGGAAGGGATATGACCCCACTGAGGACAGTTGGGTTGCAGAAGCTGCTATGGGTAACGCACGCCGTGCTCTCAAGGAATATCTTGTCAAGCAGGGTGCATCTCACGCCACCCAGCTTTGAGGGGGGGACGTGTGAGAGTACGACGGCTTATGCCAGCTATGCTTGCTTGCCTTTACTTTATCATGCTATTTCTAGCATATGATAATCATATGCATGCATGAATTGCTTGATTTCCTAAGCTAGGTGCTTTCCTGTATTTTATTATAGTTATACCGTCATCGCCCGGATATAAGACATATATGTCTTATCTCGTACACGGGCAAAAATGCTTGAGTTATCTTGTAAACGGGATGGTTTAGGGTGTCTTATAATTCTTATAAATGGAAAAAATTTTAAGTTCACTGTAACACTTGCAAAGTGTGTAGAAAACACCCAGGGACCAGATTCATTGAAACAGGCCGACCTCGGTGGTGATGCAGCAAAGCTGCCACCGCTGGCAAGATTCCTCTGTGCTGGCAGCATCTAATGATGCTGCCAGCGTCGTTTTGCTGCCAGCAGCGCATGGCAGCTTCCAGAACGCTGCTGGCAGCACGTTGGCAGCGTCAGGCTGTCCTCTACGAGGAGATGCCTCGTAGAGGAGCGGCTCGGCACCTGTGGATGGGGCACTCTGGCTGGGGGGGGTAGTCGGGCTTTCACTTCATTTGGTGCTCATGGAGGTTGAATTCTCACCTCAACCTTGCTCTCGGCAGGCTCTCTAACCATGCGCAGCAAGGTACCCCTAGGCAAGTCCTCACCTCGTCCTCACGTGCAGGTGAATAACTACGGGCGAATTAACTCGCCCGGCGATGACATCCGCGTAGCCATGGCGAAGAACGCGAGCAAGGCGGGAAGTCCTACCGCCGCCTCCGGTGCGAGCTGTGACGGGGAAGACGGAGACGAAGCACACGGCGACGACGCCGAGGAGGATTGGCCGGAGAACGGCCACGATGACAGCGCTTCGGGCGACGAATTTGGTACTGCCGACATCGAGGAGGACGAATGGTGGAATCAGCCGGTCGGGAGCGACGACGAGGTGGAAGAGTGGCGGGCTGGTGATTCCGACAACGACGGAGGTGAAGATGCTGGCGGTGACAACGCGGAGGCACAGGAAGCGGCGGTGGATGCGAATGAGGCTGCCGACGAGGCGGCGGTGGAACTCGAGACAGAGGCGCCTGCGGATGCGGACGCGGTGGCGGAGGCGAACAAGGTGGCTGCGGATGCCGTCTTATTTGAGGGTGAGGGCAACGACGACGACCCGTGGAGCCTTGGGACAGACAACGACGTTCCGCTACTGAAGCGGAGGCTGCGCCATCGCCTACAGTCCACGACGAAGCGCGCCCGCGTGGTGCTCTGTGACGACGACAGTCCCGGGGAGGAGCGTCGCCCCCTACTCACCGCTGCGGAGAAGGGAAAGGCAAAGGTCGTGGAAGCCCCTGCTAAGTCCCCTGCTAAGGCCCCTGCAAAGGCCCCTGCTCGTGGCCGCACAAGCAACAAGAAGCGCAAGGACGACGGAGACCCTGGATCCAGCAAGGGTGCGGCAAAGAAAAAGGCGAAGAAGGCGCCGAATCCTGACGACATCATCGTCAACGAGGCGTTGGGCAGCGACGATGAGTACGCGGCGGCGGCGGGCCCGATTCCCACGTTCCCTGAGAAGGAGGCGCCGAAGGACCCCACCCTCCATAATCCCAACACTCGCCCACCTTCCCCTCGCAGCAAAGACACTACGAAGAAGCGCCGCGGCTGGACCGTGCGTGAAAAGGTTAAGTGGGCGCGCCGCTATCAGGAGCTCGGCTCCTTGAAGAAGACTAGCTTGGAGTCAACCGCGAGCGTCGCCTGCATCAGACGCTGGTGCGCGGAGGCGGCTGCGGGCATCTACAAGGGCGCGGCTAACTGCCGCAAGCGGATGCACGGGGGGGGGCGCCACGCACACTACCCCAACATGGAGGCAGCGTTGTACCGCTACATCTGCCTTCAGCGCGCTAACGGGGTGGCCATCTCGGTGAAGGACACCCAAAAGTGGAGCCGCGAGTGGATGAAGAAGCATTACCCCGGCAAGAACTGGAACGCGAGCTCTCACTGGAGCCAGCGTTTCCGTGACCGCTGGAACCTGGTGATGCGGGTGAAGACAAAGGTCGGACAACGTCTGTCGGCAGGTGCGTGGATAAGGAGTTCGTGTCGCGCACGGCCCATTGTATGCATGTCTTACCTTGCTCGTTGTCTAACCGTCCCTCGCTTCTGTTCCTGTCCCGTTTTCAGAGTGCGCGAAGGACTGCGAGTCCTTCTGGAAGTTCGTGCGCATCAACAGGGCGCGGCACAACATCGACCTGGCCCGTATCATCAACGCGGACCAGACGCCACTGTTCGTGGAGATGCCGGCCGAGAGGACGATCGAGCACCGTGGCGCGCGCTCGGTCCCAATCCGCACTGCAGGCTACCAGAAGACGCGCTTGACGGTGATGCTCGCGTGCACTGCATCCGGGGAGAAGCTGCGGCCGTGGGTGTGGTTCAAGATGAAGAACGTCCCCAACTGTGAGATTCCGGACGGTAAGCGCCATGACTTCAACCTTGCCCCTGCCTCATGAGCGTGCCCCACTGTGCTGATGTCCGTCTGTCCCTTGTGTGCCTGGCAGGAATCGTGGTCCAAGCACAGGACAACGGGTGGATGGACGAGAGCGCTGTGCAGACCTGGCTGTCCAAGGAGGTGCTTCCCCATCTGAACCCCCAGCGCGGCAAGAGCGCGAGGCGTGCGATGCTGGTGTTGGACTCCTACCGCGGCCACATCACCCAGACCATGCTTCAGTCGTACCGCACGCACAACATCACCCCTGCAGTCATTCCAGCGGGTTGTACGAGCCAGATTCAACCCCTGGACGTCTCCATCAACCGGTGCTTCAAGGCTGCCGTGCGAGCGCGCTACGCCAGGTGGTTCATGCGTGAAGGGATTCACCTGAAGACGAAGAAGGGTGAGTTGGCTGTTCATTTTAAATTCCTGCTCTGTTTCGTGTCCTTATCGTTAACATCTCGCTGCCGTGTCCTCTGTCCCACCCGCAGGGAACCTGCGGAGGCCTCCGCACCCCGTGGTGCTGCAGTGGATCGCGGAGGCTTGGGATCAAGTCCCCAGGCAGATCATCATCGACGCGTTCCGCCACTGTGGGATCTCCAGCAAGCTGGACGGAACGGAGAACCACCTGGTGATGTCTCACCTGCGCGCCAGGAGCACCACCGATGTCTCCGAGGACATGTCCCTCGGGGGGACCACAGGCGACAACACGCGCCTGCTTCGGAAGGCTCCAGAGGAGGAGGAGGAGGAGGAGGAGGAGGAGGAGGAGGAGGCGATGCAGGCGGAGGGCGTGCGGGAGGTGGCTGTGGCAACTGGCCTGGAGGTGCTGTACCAGGAGACCCCCAACTACCGCGGAGCGGCGGCCGAGGCTGACCGCATGATCGAGCCAAGGGAGACGGCTAGGCATGCCTGGCGAGTGCCAGACCTGGGCGTAGAGCCTGTTGCTAGTGCTGCAGAGGAGGCGGTTACTGAGGGCGGTTAGGTAGAAGTAGGGATTCATGAATGTATGGATGTACCCCCCTAAAGTAGTGTAGGCTCGTTTAGAAGACACCCCCTGTTTATAAGAAAACCCCTAAACCCCGGTTCTGATTATAAGACATATATGTCTTATCTCGTACACACAAATAGGTGTCGTATAAAAAGGCTTGCCTGTTTATAAGAGACACCCGTATAGTAGACAACCTCTGTCTACTATTCAACACTGTCTTATATCCGGGCGATGACGGTAGCACCGAGCTAGGTTGTGTGCACCGAATTCTGGCTTTTCGGTTGCCACCGAATTGCCTTCTACCAAATTCGGGAAGGATCTGTTCGGGACGCTTCGCGACCCGCGGAACCTTCGCGTAACACCTGGTTACTAGACCTTGTGTCGAGCCTATATATAGCCTCGTGTTGTACCCAGGTGATCATTCAATTCAATTCAAACTCTCTTTTCTGAGCTCGATCCTAGATCCTCATAGTCGGTGCGCAAAAACAGCGACGGGTCAGCAGTCGAAGGAGCAAACTTAAGAGCCGCAAGTGTCGTCCTCAGTGTGTCGTGCCACTCACGAGGCGCCTGGCGGAGACCGTAGGCTGGCCGCCGGAGGCTCTACTAGGTACTAGCAGGAAACGACCCAGTGAATCCAGTTAGGCGGCGTAGCCAGATCTCCTCGTGCAGGCTGCCCTGTAGGAACGTAGTGCTGAAGTCAAGAGAGTGAAGCTCGTAGTCACGCTGAGCGGCGACGTGCAGCACCACCCGAAGAGTGGTCATCTTCGGGGTAGGGAAGAAGGTCTGGAAGAAGTCAACTCCCTGTCGCTGACTGAAGCCTCGTGCAACGTAACGCGCCTTGAAGACAGGCGGAGAACCCGGCGGCCGCTTCACCCTGAAAATCCACATGCCACTGACGATATTCGCCTTAGGTAGGGAACCTTGTCGACGTAAGTGCCTGTGGACTTCCACGATGCCATCTCTGCGTCGATGGCTGACTGCCACTGAGAGGAGTAGGGACCCGTAATCGCCTCTGCGTAAGAGCGCGGGGTCGGGATGTCCGGTGCAAGCAGCATGTACACGAGATGAGGTACAGCGGCTTCAAGATACTCAAACTCCTCCTGCCTATCCTTAAGGACGTCTGTGCCAAGAGCACTCTCACCCCCGACGGACGGAGGACAGACAGACTCAGACTCAGCAACGAGACTAGCGGCGTAGTCGAGACGACAGGCGGCAGCAAAGTCAACAAGCTCAGCAACTAGGGCAGACCCAGAAGTGGACTCAAACGAAGCGTCAGTGACAACAGTGGCTAGAAGACGTGGGACAGTAAGTCTAGCAGCACGAAGTAAGACTTAGGGTCCGGTCCGTCAGCAAGAGAGGACGCAGGAGGAGACGGTAGGGGGACAAGCTGTGGAACAGAGGAAGGATGAAGTGCCATATGGTGCGTGCCGGCGACAGGAGGAGGACGGTGACGCGGAGCACGACGACCAGTGCGGACGCGCGCGAACACGAGAGGCAGGACGAGACGCAGGCTCACGACGCTCTGTAAGGGAGTCTGGCTGCTCAGTGTAAGGAGAAGGAGCAGGCAGTGGGGAGTCTGGCTGTAGATGTGGCTGCGACTGGTCAGGCGGTGGACACAGCAAGGGAGGAGTAAGGCCAGTAGAAGACAGTAAGGCCAGTAGAAGACTGGAGACTAAGCACCTGGCGAAGTGCCGAGCCAGGTGGCGGCAGAGACGATGGCGATGGCGGAACGAAAAATAGTCGCCGCTGCACAGTGCCTCCAGCACCAGTACCGACAGCTCCAGCACCCCCAGCGCTAGCACCTCCAGCTCCAGGGCCTCGAGCTTCAGCGCCTCTAGCTCCAGCGCCTCCAGCTCTAGTGATTCCAGCTCCAGCGCCTCCAGCACCTCCAGCATCTCCAGCACCTCCAGCACATCCAGCACCTCCGGCACCAGCAGCACCACCAGCTCCAGCAGCTCCAGTACCACCAGTACGAGCACCTCCGGGACAAGTAGCTCCAGCACCTCCAGCACCTCCAGCAGCAGCACCACCACGAGCTCCAGCAGCTCCAGTACCTCCAGTGTGAGCACCTTCGGGACCAGCAGCCCCAGCACCTCCAGCACCTCCAGCAGTAGCACCACCAGCTCCAGCAGCTCCAGTACCACCAGTTCGAGCACCTCCAGGACCAGCAGCTCCAGCACCTCCAGCACCTCCAGCAGCACCACCACCACCAGCTCCAGCAGCTTCAGTACCTCCTGTATGAGCACCTCCGGGACCAGCAGCTCCGGGGCCTCCAGCTCCAGCATCGCCACTCCGAAGGCTACAGCGCCGAGCGTACCACTCGCACAACTGCTGTGGTGAGAGAGGCTCCCGTTGTGTAGACGCATGAACCCTAGGCTCAGCACCCCCAGTCTCCGCACGCTCAGACGCAGCACCCCCGGGCTCCGCACTCACTGGCTCAGCACCTCCAGGCTCCGCATGCTCAGGCTCAGCACCCCCAGACTCCACACGCTCAGGCTCCGCAACCGCAGGCTCAGCACCCCCAGACGCAGCACCCCTATTAGCACCAGAGTTTGACAGTAATGTGTAGGAGGAAAAGGAGGACCAAGTAGACGAAGACCACCCATAGATGGTGACAACTGTTGCGGCTGTGACTACTACTGCTGCTGCTACGGCTGTTGTTGTTGCTGCTGCTGCGGCTGCTACGGCTCATGCGGCTACTGCTGTCGCTGCTGCTGCTGCTTCAGAAGCTGGAATATCGTCGCTCGATGCGGTACCACCAGGGCAGGCACTCCAACGGCAGCACCCCCAGAACCAGTACCCCCAGCAACAACTCCCCAAGAGCCAGCATCTCCAGCGTCAACACCCCCAAAACCAGCTCATTCAGTGACAGCACCTCAAGAACCAGCCCCTCCAGTGTCATCACCCCTGGAGCCAGCACCTCCAGCGTCAGCACCCTCAGAAACAGCAGCTCCACCATTCGCACCCCTAGAGTCCACTGCGACCTGCCGCGGTAGCATTGTAGGCTGCTGTGGTGACTGTGGGGACAACCTAGGGGACTATGGAGAAGGAGGCGACACAGAAGGTGCAACTGAGGGAGGAGGGGTGGTGCGAGACTCACCAAACAGGGCAGGACTCGAGTGGGGGGGGACTACTGAAGGAGCAGGACTAGGAGGAGGAATGGGAGTGAGGAAGAAGGGAGGAGGGGGGGGGGGGGGGGGGGGGGGGGGGGGAACCGAGGTACCGCGGTGGGTACAGCGTATGTGGAAGGAAACTGGCTTGTCAAAACTTACGTCGTGAGAGTTGAAGAAACCGGTGGGTGGAAGGGTGGTAGAACAACCAGTCAGTGGCGTCAACCGGGAAACCAAGACATAGGGGAAGGTGCAACTGGGAAAAAGTTTGCTGCTGCTCTTGCTGCTGCTGCTGCTGCTGCTGCCGCTGCTGCTGCCGCCGCCGCCGCCGCCGCCGCCGCCGCTGCTGCTGCTGCTGCTGCTGCTGCTGCTGCTGCTGCTGCTGCTGCTGCTGCTGCTGCTGCTGCTGCTGCTGCTGCTGCTGCTGCTGCTGCTCCTGCTGCTGCTGCTACTGCTGCTGCTGCTGCTGCTGCTGCTGCTGCTGCTGCTGCTGCTGCTGCTGCTGCTGCTGCTGCTGCTGCTGCTGCTGCTGCTGCTGCTGCTGCTGCTGCTGCTGCTGCTCCTGCTGCTGCTGCTGCTGCTGCTGCTGCTGCTGCTGCTGCTGCTGCTGCTCCTGCTGCTGCTGCTGCTGCTACTGCTGCTGCTGCTGCTGCTGCTGCTGCTGCTGCTGCTGCTGCTGCTGCTGCTCCTGCTGCTGCTGCTGCTGCTCCTGCTGCTGCTGCTCCTGCTGCTGCTGCTCCTGCTGCTGCTGCTGCTGCTCCTGCTGCTGCTGCTGCTGCTGCTGCTGCTGCTGCTGCTGCTGCTGCTGCTGCTGCTGCTGCTGCTGCTGCTGCTGCTGCTCCTGCTGCTGCTGCTGCTGCTGCTCCTGCTCCTGCTCCTGCTGCTGCTGCTGCTGCTGCTGCTGCTGCTGCTGCTGCTGCTGCTGCTGCTGCTGCTGCTGCTGCTGCTGCTGCTGCTGCTGCTGCTGCTGCTGCTGCTGCTGCTGCTGCTGCTCCTGCTGCTGCTGCTGCTGCTCCTGCTGCTGCTGCTCCTGCTGCTGCTGCTGCTGCTCCTCCTGCTGCTGCTGCTGCTGCTGCTGCTGCTGCTGCTGCTGCTGCTGCTGCTGCTGCTGCTGCTGCTGCTGCTGCTGCTGCTGCTGCTGCTGCTGCTGCTGCTGCTGCTGCTGCTGCTGCTGCTGCTGCTGCTGCTGCTGCTGCTGCTGCTGCTGCTGCTGCTGCTGCTGCTGCTGCTGCTGCTGCTGCTGCTGCTGCTGCTGCTGCTGCTGCTGCTGCTGCTGCTGCTGCTGCTGCTGCTGCTGCTGCTGCTGCTGCTGCTGCTGCTGCTGCTGCTGCTGCTGCTGCTGCTGCTGCTGCTGCTGCTGCTGCTGCTGCTGCTGCTGCTGCTGCTGCTGCTGCTGCTGCTGCTGCTGCTGCTGCTGCTGCTGCTGCTGCTGCTGCTGCTGCTGCTGCTGCTGCTGCTGCTGCTGCTGCTGCTCCTGCTCCTGCTCCTGCTCCTGCTCCTGCTCCTGCTCCTGCTGCTGCTGCTGCTGCTGCTGCTGCTGCTGCTGCTGCTGCTGCTGCTGCTGCTGCTGCTGCTGCTGCTGCTGCTGCTGCTGCTGCTGCTGCTGCTGCTGCTGCTGCTGCTGCTGCTGCTGCTGCTCCTGCTGCTGCTGCTGCTGCTGCTGCTCCTGCTGCTGCTGCTCCTGCTGCTGCTGCTGCTGCTCCTGCTGCTGCTGCTGCTGCTGCTGCTGCTGCTGCTGCTGCTGCTCCTGCTGCTGCTCCTGATGCTGCTGCTGCTGCTGCTGCTGCTCCTGCTCCTGCTCCTGCTCCTACTCCGCTGCTCCAGCTGCCGTAGATGCTGAAACTTCGCCAGGCAGTCAGAGCAGGCGTTGTAGATTCAGCGCCTCCAGCTCTAGCACCCCCAGAACCAGCATCTAGAGTGCTAGCGCGTCCAGCGCCAGCACCCCCAGTGCCAGAACCTCTACATTCTGACAGTTAATTCAACAAAAAATATATATAATAAATGCTTCTGACAAAAATACCATATCTGTTAGGTTATTGGAAACACCAAAGGCAGTCTTGAAATGAGATGTACTTTATGACCATTACGAAAAGGAATTGATATGTATAATGGCACAACTTGCAAACAGGGCCAAAAAACAAGGAACCAGGCAGAGTTTGCCTGATAAAAATAGCCCATAAAAAACATAATGAGATTCTCGAAACAGAAACATATGTACACCTTCCGCGAATTTGTGCGAGTAGCACTTTCAAATCAACAGCTTCACCACTCCACACCACAGTTCGAGCCTTGCTCGAACGATGCCCACCGTGTAAGGCGGTCTGAGGTTGAACCATGATGGTTCATGGCCTGACCGCCATGGCTGCTGCTACGGCGGCTTCTGCCACGCCCTTTCTGACTGCCCATCTTCGGCACTGAATGCGCGCGGGTGGCTGTGCTGAGATGTGACGCGATTGGCCTTTCTCTGCCCAACTCCCTCGAGTCATGTCGCCAATCGTCATCGTCGCTCTCGCCTTCCTTTGAGAACGACTGTAACATGGTAACAAATTGTTCGCATCGAATCGCATTGAGTTCCCGCTGTGCGTCCAGAAACGAGATCCGACCTTCCAGCGCGAGCAGATCGAGATCCGCGCGGCTGTCATGCAGGCGTCGTAAGGAAGGAATGTCATCCTTCTGAGACATGGCCAGAACAGCAGGTGATTGCTGAGAAGACATGGCACGCTGAGATTTGACCATCACGTCGATACTGCTCCCCCATGTTTGACTCTGTTAGAGCAACTGAGTGTGCTTCGTGTATCTTGGAATCGTGAAAAACAGTCGAACGACGATTCAAGCTTATCAAACTCCGAGACACTGAAATGCTGGTCGACGAACGTCTCTTATTCCCATCTGGAATAGCTCCTCATTCGGCCCAACCTGGATGGACACGACCGTCAAGTCATGTCGTGACGAGACTGGCTACTGGTAATTGCATCAAGGGTATCCTGAGTTCGCACGGCGTAGAAGCATTCTGTTGCAAATCCCGCTTCGACGCTGAAGGAAAATCGTAGATCGCGGAGCGATGAGCCTGACGGTTCGACTAAACTTCGAGAAGGTCGTACCTTAGGCAAGCAGCAGGGACAAATCCCATGAAGTTGCGTAGGAACATTACCGTATGGATCGGTTCAATATCGGCCTCAATCAATGGATCCTCCCACGTCAGCACCAACCCGAAACCGTCAGCAAGGGCTCTTGGATCGTAAATATTGGAGCAAGGGCTCTTGGAGCGTAATTAGGTTTTACGGAACTGGTGGGGTCTCGAAACATAACTTTGCTTAGAGTTCGGTTTAGGAACCAGTTTCGAAGCACCGAGAACCGGAATTAAGGATTGACACCCTGGGTTTCAAAGGAGGAATACCAGCAGATATTTTTCCCAAGGAACACGACTGCGTCCCATCTACTCCCCACGTGGTGCGCCCATATCAATCTTCCCTCGTCGGCCATCTTCGTCGCCATAGCCTAGTACCCCATTGGCCCCATCGTCTTGTTGAACGAGGATATTGAGGAAACGGAGTGTGGTTCGGGATTCATGGCTTGTCGGAGAGCGCGAAGTCTTTACCCCGTCAAATATCCACGGCTCTGGATTAGCTGCATACGTGATTCGTCAGTTATCCAGCCTGGCATCGTCAAGAAGACTCTTCCAGAATGCATTTTACAGCAAGGCAGTCCAAGGCACGATATTCACCGCATCAGTCACGACTTCCCCGCACGGCTCACTCATAACTTCACCATCTAGGCAGACACAATCGAGGTCATGGCAAGCTGCGGCCTCATGTGAGCGGGGCGGCTCCCACCAGCAACTCGAGGAAGGCACTTTCTTCACTCAACAGAGCGTCTTCCCCGGCGACCAGATCACCCTCGGCAGCACTGCACGGCCCTCCAAGCAAACAGCGCGCTCCAACCAACCCAGAGGCTTGCTGCGAATTGAATCCGATCGTAGCTTCGCAGCTCAGCTGCCCCCAAAACGTCAGAGCCACAGGCGACCTCGCGCGGATCAAATGCGAGAAGCGGATTCAACCAGAGAGACCACGTCCCCGATGGCCCACTGGGAATGATTCGATTTGAATGTATCAGAAATAACAGAATAGATAATATATACTGTCAGACCGCTAAAGGCAATCCTTTCCAAACCAAATTGAAAGCCAGGCATTGAAGCATGCCTGCCAGCATTCCAACGCCTTGAACAAAATTGGCCATATTCCTGCACTGGTCATAGATATCTCACAACTCATCCCCAACTTAGTGGGATCAAACCAGAGAACCTTTGTTATTTGGTATGTAATTGCCAACGGTATAAAAATATCGAATTATGCAATTCTTCACAAAGGGAAACTCGATCATAGGAAGTTGTAGTGTGTCAGCGCATCATTCAATTCGTGCAATCACTCACTAGGGACCGTCCGTACGTTGCAAATGCAAATGCTGCATTGCATCAATCTCATGTCATGCTGCTACCATCTAACCCCCTGATGGTAAGTGGAAAACCAAAAGGATAGCATTGCTGGAAGGTAAACATACATAAATCCCTTTCATTGATCTTTCTTTTGCCGGTTGGATGGAGGAATGAGAGGAGGAAGCAAGGCGGAGAGCAGGAGAGGCAGGATGGAGCCAAAGAAGTAGAGAGAGCGCCACACTCTGAATGTGAGGTCCGCCCGCAGGAGCTGCACGCACACACACAGACACACACACAGACACACACACACACACACACACACACACACACACACACACACACACACACACACACACACACACACACACGCACACGAGGAGAGGACATGGTGAGGGGCAGACACAGGCTGCATTGTAACCGACGAGTACATTCCAACCTGGCACCGATGGTCCCCATCCAGGGAAAGAGGGTTGTCATTGAACTAGGCTCGGTGGCACCGTGTGCCGCATGCAAGGCATGCTGGGGGATGAAGAGCCTGTTGGCATGGGGGAGCCTGTTGGCATGGGGGAGCCTGTTGGCATGGGGGAGCCTGTTGGCATGGGGGAGCCTGTGGCATTGGGGAGCCGTAAATGAGATGCTTTCGGCTCACCTACCAATGGCCGACCACACCCAGCAGGCACAGGCCTGACAGCGAGCTTAACAAGCCAGCATGCCTGCAGTCACAACCGATGCACTTCCCACACAAAGAAATCTTATGACCTTACAATGGAGCCAGAACAGTCACAGTGTGTTAGTAGCACAGCACTCCCAATGAATCCAGGGGGGCCGCATTTGGAAGCACTTGCATTGAAGCCCGGTGGCGTGCACCCCATGAGCACACACAACGCTCCCGAGCAGGCCGCACATGTTTGTCCAGCAGTGTGTAGCACAACATGAAAAGCGCATGAGATGATGCCGGCACACGGAATAGCAGCACTCACAATGAAGCCCAGTGGAGCATACGCCACGACGAGCACACAAAACACTTTCAACCACGCCACTCCCAAGCACGCCACATGTGTGTGTACAGCATGCCGGCACATGGAATAGCAGTACTCACAATGAAGCCCAGCGGCGCATACCCCACGAGCACACGTGTGTAGAGCATCTGTGCCACCCATGCCATGCCGCGCTGCCACCGCCTGTGAGGGGGGATGGACTGGTGCAGGCGGTGCAGCACTGCAGGCGCGCAGAGGGGGATGGGAGAGACGAGGGGGAGAGAGGAGGGGTGAGAGGGGCGAGTGGGGAGGAGCTGAAGAGAAGGAGCTAGGGCGAAGTTTCGAGGGGAGAGGGAGGAAGAGCAGAAAGGAAGGTAAGGAAATGTGAAGCACAAGGCACGGATGCAAGGCATGGGATGGGATGTGCACGAAAGAATGGGAGGTGCGAGGGATGACGTGAGGAGATGAGGCGGAAGGAGTGATGGGCGGTTAGGAACTTACATTTGGAGGCGTCTTGAGCGATGGCGGCTGAGAGGAAGAAGAGGTAGTAGCCTGGATGTAGGCCCTGTTGTTCATGGGTGCACAGTGCATCGGCCCCACGCACATGGCACGGTGTCATGAGAGAGGTTATGCAGTCCGTGTGTATATCCATCCATGTATAAATTCAACCATCCATGCATGTGCACGCATTGACACACATACACAACATAGATACACACGTCATCATACGTGGATACATGCATGGTCATGTGTACTCATTCACAAATAAATACGCATAACAAAGGGGAGGGAGCAGAGGAATAAACACGGGGAGGAAGACCTATGGACTGGGATAATAAGTTGGATACTTGAATGGATGGATGGATGGATGGATGGATGGATGGATGGATGGATGGATGGATGGATGGATGGATGGATGGATGGATGGATGGATGGATGGATGGATGGATGGATGGATGGATGGATGGATGGATGGATGGATGGATGGATGGATGGATGGATGGATGGATGGATGGAGGGACGGATGGATGGATGGATCATGGATGGATGGGATGGATAGTCTGGTAAAGCATAAGCAAAGCTCTCACATTCCCACATGTCCACAACTCGCATGCCACATGCCATGACTCACATGACACATGCCCATGACTCACATGCCACAGCGCGCTGACAGCTTGTGTCACAAGGAGAGTTGTCAGGTTGGGCTTTCCTGATGGGGGGGTCATGCGGTCATACACATCTACATGCACACACATGCACATGCACGCACGCACAGGCGCAGACAGATAGTGTGGACATGCACATACACACATATGCAGATGCATGTCCATGCGGAAACGGGAACGAGTCAGCCCTTTGATTCAAGGACATGCAGAACGGCTCTTGACCTGACGAGCAATTTTCTACAATGTACAAGTATTCCAATGTGCACATGCATGTGAGTGCATGCCAACATGCATGTGAGTGCATGCCAACATGCATGTGAGTGCATGCCAACCTGCATGCGAGTGCATGCCAACATGCATGGGAGTGCATGCCAACATGCATGCGAGTGCATGCCAACATGCATGCGAGTGCATGCCAACATGCATGCGAGTGCATGCCAACCTGCATGCGAGTGCATGCCAACATGCATGCGAGTGCATGCCAACATGCATGCGAGTGCATGCCAACCCGCATGCGAGTGCATGCCAACATGCATGTGAGTGCATTCCAACATGCATGCGAGTGCATGCCAACCTGCATGTGAGTGCATGCCAACCTGCATGTGAGTGCATGCCAACCTGCATGCGAGTGCATGCCAACATGCATGGGAGTGCATGCCAACATGCATGCGAGTGCATGCCAACATGCATGCGAGTGCATGATGCATGCGAGTGCATGCCAACCTGCATGCGAGTGCATGCCAACCCGCATGCGAGTGCATGCCAACCTGCATGTGAGTGCATGCCAACCTGCATGTGAGTGCATGCCAACCTGCATGTGAGTGCATGCCAACCTGCATGTGAGTGCATGCCAACCTGCATGTGAGTGCATGCCAACATGCATGTGAGTGCATGCCAACCTGCATGTGAGTGCATGCCAACCTGCATGTGAGTGCATGCCAACATGCATGTGAGTGCATGCCAACATGCATGTGAGTGCATGCCAACATGCATGTGAGTGCATGCCAACCTGCATGTGAGTGCATGCCAACCTGCATGTGAGTGCATGCCAACCTGCATGTGAGTGCATGCCAACATGCATGTGAGTGCATGCCAACCTGCATGTGAGTGCATGCCAACCTGCATGCGAGTGCATGCCAACCTGCATGCGAGTGCATGCCAACCTGCATGTGAGTGCATGCCAACCTGCATGTGAGTGCATGCCAACCTGCATGTGAGTGCATGCCAACCTGCATGTGAGTGCATGCCAACCTGCATGTGAGTGCATGCCAACCTGCATGTGAGTGCATGCCAACCTGCATGTGAGTGCATGCCAACCTGCATGTGAGTGCATGCCAACATGCATGTGAGTGCATGCCAACATGCATGTGAGTGCATGCCAACCTGCATGCGAGTGCATGCCAACATGCATGGGAGTGCATGCCAACATGCATGCGAGTGCATGCCAACATGCATGCGAGTGCATGCCAACATGCATGCGAGTGCATGCCAACCTGCATGCGAGTGCATGCCAACATGCATGCGAGTGCATGCCAACATGCATGCGAGTGCATGCCAACCCGCATGCGAGTGCATGCCAACATGCATGTGAGTGCATTCCAACATGCATGCGAGTGCATGCCAACCTGCATGTGAGTGCATGCCAACCTGCATGTGAGTGCATGCCAACCTGCATGCGAGTGCATGCCAACATGCATGGGAGTGCATGCCAACATGCATGCGAGTGCATGCCAACATGCATGCGAGTGCATGATGCATGCGAGTGCATGCCAACCTGCATGCGAGTGCATGCCAACCCGCATGCGAGTGCATGCCAACCTGCATGTGAGTGCATGCCAACCTGCATGTGAGTGCATGCCAACCTGCATGTGAGTGCATGCCAACCTGCATGTGAGTGCATGCCAACCTGCATGTGAGTGCATGCCAACATGCATGTGAGTGCATGCCAACCTGCATGTGAGTGCATGCCAACCTGCATGTGAGTGCATGCCAACATGCATGTGAGTGCATGCCAACATGCATGTGAGTGCATGCCAACATGCATGTGAGTGCATGCCAACCTGCATGTGAGTGCATGCCAACCTGCATGTGAGTGCATGCCAACCTGCATGTGAGTGCATGCCAACATGCATGTGAGTGCATGCCAACCTGCATGTGAGTGCATGCCAACCTGCATGCGAGTGCATGCCAACCTGCATGTGAGTGCATGCCAACCTGCATGTGAGTGCATGCCAACCTGCATGTGAGTGCATGCCAACCTGCATGTGAGTGCATGCCAACCTGCATGTGAGTGCATGCCAACCTGCATGTGAGTGCATGCCAACCTGCATGTGAGTGCATGCCGACCTGCATGTGAGTGCATGCCGACCTGCATGTGAGTGCATGCCGACCTGCATGTGAGTGCATGCCGACCTGCATGTGAGTGCATGCCGACCTGCATGTGAGTGCATGCCGACATGCATGTGAGTGCATGCCGACATGCATGTGAGTGCATGCCGACATGCATGTGAGTGCATGCCGACCTGCATGTGAGTGCATGCCGACCTGCATGTGAGTGCATGCCGACCTGCATGTGAGTGCATGCCGACCTTCATGTGAGTGCATGCCGACATGCATGTGAGTGCATGCCGACATGCATGTGAGTGCATGCCAACATGCATGTGAGTGCATGCCAACATGCATGTGAGTGCATGCCAGCCTGCATGTGAGTGCATGCCAACCTGCATGCGAGTGCATGCCAACCCGCATGCGAGTGCATGCCAACCTGCATGTGAGTGCATGCCAACCTGCATGTGAGTGCATGCCAACCTGCATGTGAGTGCATGCCAACCTGCATGTGAGTGCATGCCAACCTGCATGTGAGTGCATGCCAACATGCATGTGAGTGCATGCCAACCTGCATGTGAGTGCATGCCAACCTGCATGTGAGTGCATGCCAACCTGCATGTGAGTGCATGCCAACCTGCATGTGAGTGCATGCCAACCTGCATGTGAGTGCATGCCAACCTGCATGTGAGTGCATGCCAACCTGCATGTGAGTGCATACCAACCTGCATGTGAGTGCATTCCAACCTGCATGTGAGTGCATGCCAACCTGCATGTGAGTGCATGCCAACATGCATGTGAGTGCATGCCAACCTGCATGTGAGTGCATGCCAACCTGCATGTGAGTGCATGCCAACCTGCATGTGAGTGCATGCCAACCTGCATGTGAGTGCATGCCAACCTGCATGTGAGTGCATGCCAACATGCATGTGAGTGCATGCCAACCTGCATGTGAGTGCATGCCAACCTGCATGTGAGTGCATTCCAACCTGCATGTGAGTGCATGCCAACCTGCATGTGAGTGCATGCCAACATGCATGTGAGTGCATGCCAACCTGCATGTGAGTGCATGCCAACATGCATGTGAGTGCATGCCAACCTGCATGTGAGTGCATGCCAACATGCATGGGAGTGCATGCCAACCTGCATGTGAGTGCATGCCAACCTGCATGTGAGTGCATGCCAACATGCATGGGAGTGCATGCCAACCTGCATGTGAGTGCATGCCAACATGCATGTGAGTGCATGCCAACCTGCATGTGAGTGCATGCCAACATGCATGTGAGTGCATGCCAACATGCATGTGAGTGCATGCCAACCTGCATGTGAGTGCATGCCAACCTGCATGTGAGTGCATGCCAACCTGCATGTGAGTGCATGCCAACCTGCATGGGAGTGCATGCCAACCTGCATGTGAGTGCATGCCAACCTGCATGTGAGTGCATGCCAACCTGCATGTGAGTGCATGCCAACCTGCATGTGAGTGCATGCCAACCTGTATGTGAGTGCATGCCAACATGCATGTGAGTGCATGCCAACCTGCATGTGAGTGCATGCCAACATGCATGTGAGTGCATGCCAACCTGCATGTGAGTGCATGCCAACCTGCATGTGAGTGCATGCCAACATGCATGTGAGTGCATGCCAACATGCATGTGAGTGCATGCCAACATGCATGTGAGTGCATTGCAAGGACTGCTTGTGTGGGAGAAGCAAGGAGGGGGATACGGGGAGCGAGGAGGGGAGAGAGGGGGTAGAGTAGGGGGATACGGGGAGCGAGGAGAGGGGAGGAAAGGGGAGCGGAGAGGAGTGGAGGGGAGGGGAGGGGAGGGGAGGGGAGTGGAGGGGACGCACAGGTGCGCAGCCAGTTGCTGACTCCGATGTTCCAGTTTGGTGGCAGTCGTGCCGCACTGCCCGTGACCTCCACCACCCATATTTTCACGTTGCTCGCCCTGCTCCTGTGAGGTGCACAGTGAGGGGGGCGACATGGGAACACGGGGGCATGACAGCCCATTGCACAGAAAAGCACGAGAGGAGAGCGGGTGGGAGTGTCGCACCAGCCAGTCCAGATAGGCGACGTGCGACGAGCTGCACATGCGGAGTCCAGGTGATAAAAGTGTTGCTCTGAGACGTCTCAAAACGTGCGAGTCCAGCTGGTGCAGCATGCGAGCACAGCGAGTCAACGCCACTTGCCGTGCAGGGCTCTGCGGCTGTCCCGCCGTGAGACCGTGGGCAAGTGGGGTGAGGCGGGGTGAGCGCGTATCACAAGGAGAGCTCGGATTGAAAGGGGAGAGCGAGGGCATGATGGAGCATGGGTTATGGGAAGGCGATGAGGCCGTGGCAAGGGCTTACAGTGCAAAGAGGGAAAGGGGAGATACGCAAAAAGGGAGGGGGAACGAGGCAAGGAGGAAGGGAGTGACAAAAAAACAAAGTTGGCAGGCAGGCAAGGAGAGAGAGGGAGCACGTGGAGAGGTGCAGGTGGTAGGAACCTCCCAAGATTTGGCAGACGGGTCGAGACAGCACATGGAAGGTCAGGTCGCTTCATCCTATTCCAACTCGTGACCTGCTACCATCCGACGTGCAATCAACTTACCAGTCTGCTACCATCCGACGTGCAATCAACTTACCAGTCTGCTACCATCCGACGTGCAATCAACTTACCAGTCTGCTACCATCCGACGTGCAATCAACTTACCAGTCTGCTACCATCCGACGTGCAATCAACTTACCAGTCTGCTACCATCCGACGTGCAATCAACTTACCAGTCTGCTACCATCCGACGTGCAATCAACTTACCAGTCTGCTTCCATCCGACGTGCAATCAACTTACCAGTCTTCTACCATCCGACGTGCAATCAACTTACCAGTCTGCTTCCATCCGACGTGCAATCAACTTACCAGTCTGCTTCCATCCGACGTGCAATCAACTTACCAGTCTGCTTCCATCCGACGTGCAATCAACTTACCAGTCTGCTTCCATCCGACGTGCAATCAACTTACCAGTCTGCTTCCATCCGACGTGCAATCAACTTACCAGTCTGCTACCATCCGACGTGCAATCAACTTACCAGTCTGCTTCCATCCGACGTGCAATCAACTTACCAGTCTGCTTCCATCCGACGTGCAATCAACTTACCAGTCTGCTTCCATCCGACGTGCAATCAACTTACCAGTCTGCTTCCATCCGACGTGCAATCAACTTACCAGTCTGCTACCATCCGACGTGCAATCAACTTACCAGTCTGCTACCATCCGACGTGCAATCAACTTACCAGTCTGCTTCCATCCGACGTGCAATCAACTTACCAGTCTGCTTCCATCCGACGTGCAATCAACTTACCAGTCTGCTTCCATCCGACGTGCAATCAACTTACCGGCCTGCTTCCATCCGACGTGCAATCAACTTACCAGTCTGCTTCCATCCGACGTGCAATCAACTTACCAGTCTGCTTCCATCCGACGTGCAATCAACTTACCAGTCTGCTTCCAGCCGGCGTGCAATCAACTTACCAGTCTGCTTCCATACGACGTGCAATCAACTTACCAGTCTGCTTCCATATGACGTGCAATCAACTTACCAGTCTGCTTCCAGCCGACGTGCAATCAACTTACCAGTCTGCTTCCAGCCGACGTGCAATCAACTTACCAGTCTGCTTCCATCCGAAGTGCAATCAACTTACCAGTCTCCTTCCATCCGACGTGCAATCAACTTACCAGTCTCCTTCCATCCGACGTGCAATCAACTTACCAGTCTGCTACCATCAGACGTGCAATCAACTTACCAGTCTCCTTCCATCCGACGTGCAATCAACTTACCAGTCTGCTTCCATCCGACGTGCAATCAACTTACCAGTCTGCTTCCATCCGACGTGCAATCAACTTACCAGTCTGCTTCCAGCCGACGTGCAATCAACTTACCAGTCTGCTTCCATCCGACGAGCAATCAACTTACCAGTCTGCTTCCATCCGACGTGCAATCAACTTACCAGTTTGCTTCCAGCCGACGTGCAATCAACTTACCAGTCTGCTTCCAGCCGACGTGCAATCAACTTACCAGTCTGCTTCCAGCCGACGTGCAATCAACTTACCAGTCTGCTTCCATCCGACGTGCAATCAACTTACCAGTCTGCTACCATCAGACGTGCAATCAACTTACCAGTCTCCTTCCATCCGACGTGCAATCAACTTACCAGTCTGCTTCCATCCGACGTGCAATCAACTTACCAGTCTGCTTCCATCCGACGTGCAATCAACTTACCAGTCTGCTTCCAGCCGGCGTGCAATCAACTTACCAGTCTGCTTCCATCCGACGTGCAATCAACTTACCAGTCTGCTTCCATCCGACGTGCAATCAACTTACCAGTCTGCTTCCAGCCGGCGTGCAATCAACTTACCAGTCTGCTTCCATACGACGTGCAATCAACTTACCAGTCTGCTTCCATACGACGTGCAATCAACTTACCAGTCTGCTTCCAGCCGACGTGCAATCAACTTACCAGTCTGCTTCCAGCCGACGTGCAATCAACTTACCAGTCTGCTTCCATCCGACGTGCAATCAACTTACCAGTCTCCTTCCATCCGACGTGCAATCAACTTACCAGTCTCCTTCCATCCGACGTGCAATCAACTTACCAGTCTGCTACCATCAGACGTGCAATCAACTTACCAGTCTCCTTCCATCCGACGTGCAATCAACTTACCAGTCTGCTTCCATCCGACGTGCAATCAACTTACCAGTCTGCTTCCATCCGACGTGCAATCAACTTACCAGTCTGCTTCCATCCGACGTGCAATCAACTTACCAGTCTGCTTCCAGCCGACGTGCAATCAACTTACCAGTCTGCTTCCATCTGACGAGCAATCAACTTACCAGTCTGCTTCCATCCGACGTGCAATCAACTTACCAGTTTGCTTCCAGCCGACGTGCAATCAACTTACCAGTCTGCTTCCAGCCGACGTGCAATCAACTTACCAGTCTGCTTCCAGCCGACGTGCAATCAACTTACCAGTCTGCTTCCATCCGACGTGCAATCAACTTACCAGTCTGCTTCCATCCGACGTGCAATCAACTTACCAGTCTGCTTCCATCCGACGTGCAATCAACTTACCAGTCTGCTTCCATCCGACGTGCAATCAACTTACCAGTCTGCTTCCATCCGACGTGCAATCAACTTACCAGTCTGCTTCCATCCGACGTGCAATCAACTTACCAGTCTGCTTCCATCCGACGTGCAATCAACTTACCAGTCTCCTTCCATCCGACGTGCAATCAACTTACCAGTCTGCTTCCATCCGACGTGCAATCAACTTACCAGTCTGCTTCCATCCGACGTGCAATCAACTTACCAGTCTGCTTCCATCCGACGTGCAATCAACTTACCAGTCTGCTTCCATCCGACGTGCAATCAACTTACCAGTCTGCTTCCATCCGACGTGCAATCAACTTACCAGTCTGCTTCCAGCCGCTGCTGCTTCTGCCCGCCTTCTCCTTCCCTCGCCTCCCCATCACCCTCCCTGTGGCTGGGAGCTGCTGCCTTAAAGCCCGAGAAGCCAAAAGCGGAGAGGATGAGGGCGGATTCAGCGACGGCCCAGATGAAGTAGAACATCCAGCGGTACGCCAGGAGGGTGAGCGCCACCTGGCCGCACCTGCGCAGTGCGCACACGGTGAGAGGGGGATAGCTGAGATTGTCAAGAGACGGCCCAACTGAAGGTGAACATCCAACAGTAGGCTGGGGGGGTTAACACGACCTTCCCCCACCTATGCAATGGCGGGTAGTGGGTGGGCGGCATGGCGGCCATGGGATGGGAGGGGGGCCGGGGCAGAAGATGAAGATGAGCACGCGGAACGAGGTGAGGTGGGGAGAGGGCGGTGGGTGGGGAGAGGGCAGGGGGAGGAGAGAGGGCAGGGGGAGGAGAGAGGCAGGGGGAGGAGAGAGGCAGGGGGAGGAGAGAGGCAGGGGGAGGAGAGAGGCAGGGGGAGGAGCAGCTCACCTGATGAGGAAGGGGCGGGCGAAGAAGGCGGGTTGGGTGAGCGAGGAGGGCGGGAGGAGGTAAGAGAGGGTGTGGTAGACGGCCATGCAGAGCAGCGCCTTGAGCAGTGCGGCGCATGCCGGCAGCACACGCGGAGGGAAGGCGGGGGAGTGTGGTGCAGATGGATGCTTGTGCGGGTAGAGCGTGGCCCAGCACTGCCAGAGGGGTGCAGAGGGGTGAGGGGCGATGGAGAGGGGAACAAAGATGAGGAATGCAGAGGGGGAACAAAGAGGGGGGATGGGAAGGAGGAATTGGGGATGGGGGGGAGGAATTGGGATGGGGGGGAGGAATTGGGGATGGGGGGGAGGAATTGGGGATGGGGGGGAGGAATAGGGGATGGGGGGGAGGAATTGGGGATGGGGGGGAGGAATTGGGGATGGGGGGGGGGAATTGGGGATGGGGGGGAGGAATTGGGGATGGGGGGGGGGAATTGGGGATGGGGGGGAGAAATTGAGGATGGGGGGGAGGAATTGGGGATGGGGGGGAGGAATTGGGGATGGGGGGGGGAAATTGGGGATGGGGGGGAGGAATTGGGGATGGGGGGGGGGAATTGGGGATGGGGGGGAGAAATTGGGGATGGGGGGGAGGAATTGGGGATGGGGGGGAGGAATTGGGGATGGGGGGGAGGAATTGGGGATGGGGGGGAGGAATTGGGGATGGGGGGGAGGAATTGGGGATGGGGGGGAGGAATTGGGGATGGGGGGGAGGAATTGGGGATGGGGGGGAGGAATTGGGGATGGGGGGGAGGAATTGGGGATGGGGGGGGGGAATTGGGGATGGGGGGAAGAAATTGGGGATGGGGGGGAGGAATTGGGGATGGGGGGGAGGAATTGGGGATGGGGGGGAGGAATTGGGGATGGGGGGGAGGAATTGGGGATGGGGGGGGAGAATGGAGGCACCGTTTTATGTTGTGAGAGGATGTCATGGTAAAGCGTGTTAAGGAGAAACACGCGAGTGATCCACACACTTCCTCGCACCCCTCCCACCTCTCACACCCCTCCCAGTCCTTCCCCCTCCTCACCCTCTCCTCCACTCATCCCCACCACCCCCCCCCCGCACTCCTCACCCCTTTTCCTTCAACGAAGTCGTGGTAAGCGGCGAGGGGGAAGGGCGGCCCCACGGGGAAGGGAGCCCTCCCAACCTCTCCATCCCTCTGACCCCTCACACCTCGCCCACCCCTCCCACCACCCTCCCCCTCCTCACCCCTCTGCCCTCAACGTAGTCGTGGTAAGCGGCGAGGGGGAAGGGCGGCCCCACGAGCAGCGCGGCGGGGAAGAAGACAAAGCCCAGGAACGGCAGCAGCGGGGGCACTCGGGGGAGCGCGCTGGGGGAGGCGCTGCTGGCGCGCTGCGGAAAGGGTTGGTGGAAACGAGGAGTCAGGGGCAAGGGGTGGATGGGATAGGAGGGAAGAAAGGGAGGGCAGGGAACGTGGGAGAAGGCGAATGGAGGCGAGGGATGGAAGGCGGGGATGAGGAGAATGGAGAGTGTGTTGGCTGTGCATGAGGGCGAGGCAGAGGCCACAGGGATGGGAAGGGTGGCGCACACACGAAGAGGGCATGGCGCTTGATAATCGCCACAGAAGGGCGCATGGGCAAACAAAGGAAGGGCTTTGATCAGAAAGTGAATGTGAGGATGCGATGGCAAGCTGCATGTGATGTGAACGTGAGGATGCGATGGCAAGCTGCATGTGATGTGAATGTGAGGATGCGATGGCAAGCTGCATGTCATGTGAATGTGAGGATGCGATGGCAAGCTGCATGTCATGTGAATGTGAGGATGCGATGGCAAGCTGCATGTGATGTGAATGTGAGGATGCGATGGCAAGCTGCATGTGATGTGAATGTGAGGATGCGATAGCAAGCTGCATGTGATGTGAATGTGAGGATGCGATGGCAAGCTGCATGTGATGTGAATGTGAGGATGCGATAGCAAGCTGCATGTGATGTGAATGTGAGGATGCGATAGCAGGCTGCATGTGATGTGAATGTGAGGATGCGATAGCAGGCTGCATGTGATGTGAATGTGAGGATGCGATAGCAAGCTGCATGTGATGTGAATGTGAGGATGCGATGGCAAGCTGCATGTGATGTGAATGTGAGGATGCGATGGCAAGCTGCATGTGATGTGAATGTGAGGATGCGATAGCAAGCTGCATGTGATGTGAATGTGAGGATGCGATAGCAAGCTGCATGTGATGTGAATGTGAGGATGCGATAGCAAGCTGCATGTGATGTGAATGTGAGGATGCGATAGCAAGCTGCATGTGATGTGAATGAGGATATAGCAAGCACACGAGGTAGCAGATCGTTTCTGTCTGCCCCAGGTTGCCATTCCATTTCTGTAGCCAGTGCTGCCATGCACGCCACTCCATAGCGCCGCGAATGTGCGCGCGGGCGGCAATCTTTTGTCAGCCATAATGACAGGGAGCAGCACGGGCATCTGTCACTCAATATGAAGTTCAAAAGGCACGTACTGGCGTCCTTTCGTCCTGCTGCTCCCTGCCGTCCTCCTGCCCCCAGCTGTCCTGCCAGTCCACGGCGGCCTTCATGAGCTTGAGAGGGTCCATGAACTCACTCACGATGCACTTACTGACGACTTGCCGTCCGGCTCCGTGCTGCCGTCCTGCTTGCCACCGTCCTGGCAGTCCATGGCGGCCCCCACGAGCTTGAGAGTGACGATCATGAGTGTGCCCGTGAAGTCGATGTCGCCCCGCCTCCACGCACTCGCATCTAGGCTTGTCACATGGCTGGTGGGACCAGGCATGGGAGGTATGGGGGACGAGGCATGGGGGCATGGCATGGGAGGTATGGGGGCGAGGCGTGGGGGCATGGGGCGCATGAGTTCACGGCGGCCATGGCAGAGAGATGCGAGAGAGAAGGCGAGCCAAGGGATAGGGCATGGGAAGGCGAGCCAAGGGATAGGGCATGGGAAGGCGAGCCAAGGGATAGGGCATGGGAAGGCGAGCCAAGGGATAGGGCATGGGAAGGCGAGCCAAGGGATAGGGCATGGGAAGGCGAGCCAAGGGATAGGGCATGGGAAGGCGAGCCAAGGGATAGGGCATGGGAAGGCGAGCCAAGGGATAGGGCATGGGAAGGCGAAAGCACGTGAAGGATTGGAGAGAGCATGTGGGGCAAGCGATAACGACGGGGGAGCGAGTGATGAAGGCAGCAGGTAAAGTAGCGAGAGCATGGGATGGGAGGCGGGGCAGTGCATGGATGGGAAGGGGGGCGGACCAGAAGATGAGGAAGGCGAAGGCGGTGAGGAAGACAATGTAGCCAGAGAGGCGACGAGGCAGGGCGAGCATGAGCGCGTAGCACGCGAGGGTGAGCCCCCAGATGGCCGCACTCGCTGCTCGCTTGCACGACCATGGAGACATTGTTCATTGGATGAATGGGGTGGGGGAATGGGTGAATGGGGAATGGGAAATGGGGGAATTGGAGGACGGGCGAATGGGGTTAGAGGGGGTTATGTTATGGGAGGATAGAGTGGTCGTTACTGAGAGAGCCACCCGCCTTTCAACGCACTCTCCTTCCTGCAAACCGCACTTGCCACTCTCCCTTCTCCCCTTCGCACCTCCAACCCCACACCCAGCCCTCCACTTCCCCCAAAAGCCACCCATTCTCTTCCTTATTTCCCGCCCTCCTCCCTCTTTCCATCCCCTTCTCAACTCTTTCCTCACCAATTCTTCAACTCTTCCTCTCACGTCCTCTCCCCTACCTTCCTTTCTCCTCTCCCCTACCTTCCTTTCTCCTCTCCCCTCCGTTGCTATCATATCCCATTCACACAACCGCGGTCCCCCGACCACTTCCTCCCCTTTACCCCTCCGCCACCCCCCCTGCTTCACTCTCCCCCTCCTCCCCCCTTCCCCCTTCCCCTCTCCCCCCACCACGCGCACCTCTCAGTCCGCCGTACGCGAACCAACACGTGGCAGCGCCGACGACGACATTGTACACGTGGCGGGTGGAGGGGGAGGGGAGGAGCGGCACGAGCGCAGCGGCGGGGATGGAGGAGAGGAGGCAGGCGAGGAAGGTGAGTAGCGGCCGCGACACGCCGAACAGCGTCGCAGGGGAGTCGTCTGCGACCATCGCGTGCGACCGAAGCGGTCGCACTATGTGTGCTACGGGCAGACGGATGTGCACAGGGAAGGACGGACGGACGAGGCGACGGCGTGCGGAGGTCGTGCGACGGCGTGCGCAGATCGTCGCAAGGATGGGGCCACAGTGGCCACGCGCGAGGAATTGAGACCCGTGGCTGCGGCGCTGCGGGCGCCGAGTGGTAAAATCAGAGTATCATGTGCTGCCACGTGTGCTGTGGCTGTGGATTCAGGTCAATTCGGCAACACGGGTCACGACCCACGAGCAAATACCCGTTTTAGCGTCAACACCTGACGTGCACTTGGTCTGGAAAGTGTAAGCTGAGTATGATTTATCAATCTGGTTTTTATCACCGTTAGACCATTTAAAATTGAACAAAAAAATGACTCATCATCACCATTATTAGAATATATTTGAAATTATTATTATCATTATTATCTTGATATTTTTCAAATGGATGAAGAAAGGATTTCTGAGATCATATATTTACTATAGATGAAAAATATGATAGTACGATAATGAAGAAAACTTTCTAGACGCACCAAAAGTGTAGTTCAATTCCTGTCGGGAGTCGCTTCTGGCTCTCTGTAAGGAAAATTCCTTTTCCTTACTTCGCATCCCTGCTCAACGCGAACATCACTGTAGCACCACAGTCAGCACCGTTACCACTCGCAACCCTCGCATCGACAATCCGCTCGCCACCTTCGCACGTCGCACCCCGACCTCACGGCTCGGCGGGTAACCCGCGTTCCGGGCCTCCGCTTCGACATTCTTCCCAACCTCAGTCCCAGGCCCGTCGCGCGACAACCACAGTCCATTACCGTTACCACTGTAGTTTCGCTATATACTCTTCGCTCATGCCTTCGCTCATTGTACTCTTGCTTCGATAGTGCAATTCTCGTTCGTTCACTCAATTGCACTCGTAACACTTGGTATTCAGAGCCTACGATCTCTTCTCGGACCGCACCCACACCTTCGCTTCCCCACTATCTCAATTTTTGGGGGGGGTAGACGTCTCTCAGCGACACAGCACCGCCGCTCGTAATGCTCTCTCGTAAGCACGCACGGCCACGACCGAGGCTCTCGCTGAGCTCGCCCGACACCCCCGCCATGGCCGAATTCACACTCGCCACATTGACGTAGGAGCAGCTCGACCGTCTGGTGCGCCAACTTGAAGATTCGGCGCTCGAAATTGCGACGCTCACGGCGGAACGTGACTCCGCGCGTCAGCAATCAACGATGAACACTTCAGCGCCACCACACGCACCGACAAATGCATCTGCACAATCAAACGAGCCGATCGTCATCTCGTTCGGCACACCAACACAAAACAACAGCGTGGGACAGCGCTCAGGCGCAGCCAGCGATGGCGCCGCCCAGCCGATGCCTAGCATGGGAGGAAACAGGGTCACACCAAGCCCGCGGGAGCCTCGCGAAGCCCCTCGGCACGTGGAGTTCGCGGCGACAAGTGGCGAACATGCCATTATGGCACCAATGCCACTCAAGCTGCAACGCCCGCCCTGCTTCGACCCGAGCCAGCGTGGAGGTCCGACGGTTCAATCGTGGGTCTTCACGATGAACGTCTTCTTCGACACGAATTACGTCGAGTCGGACGCAGCGAAGATTCGGTATGCCGTTTCGCTGCTAAGGGGCCCCGCCATGGACTGGTGGCGAGTCATCGTGACGTCGCCACGCGCCTACAAGCCACCGTCGCAAGAGGAAGGGCCCACGGGTCCAGCTGTCACCTGGAGTTCATTCTGCGAGACCGCCCAATACAGCACGTGGGATGCGTGGTGCGCAGGGCTTCGGGTGCGCTTCGAGCCGATCGCGGCTTCTATTTCGGCGCGTCAGAGATAGCGCACTTGGCGGCAACTCGGATCGGTTCAAGACTATACGAGCGGTTTTCTCGCATTATGCGAGCAAGTCGGCTATATGCACGAAGCGGAGCGGGTGGACCGTTACGTCGGAGGGGTGAAGCCGGACATCTCGAACGAAATCATGCTACGCGGGCTCTCGAACTTCAACGAGATTCTCGCGCTCGCCGAGAAAATCGACATTTTACGCCGTCCGAGACCGGGGTCCTACTATGGACATCGTCCTCGGGGACCGATCGAGCACGTCACTGTACACGCTGTTGCGACGAATGCAGCTGCCGCGCCGTTTAAGGGGCGCTGCTTTGCTTGCAACAGGCCGGGCCATCGCAAGAGCGAATGCCCAGAGGAGCTAAGGCGCCGCGGAGCAGAGCAGGGGAGGGAGTCTCCAAGGCAGGGAAACGCAAGCAGTCAGTAGGAATCGGGCCAACTACTGACGAGACTGCCTGCTCGCCCAACCCCACCGACCCTCACCGAGTCATAGTACCGATTCACGCTATCGATCGGACTCGGACGAATAAGGAGGGTACAGCGACGGATTGCCCAGTACTGATCCACGGGAAAATACAGGGAGCAGCAGTGAAGATTTTTATCGACGGAGGAGCAAGCCACAGTTTAGTTAATACCGCAACCGCACGAAAACTGCAGCTGACACTTAGCCGTTGCTTCCCGGAGATAGATGCACGCTTAGTCGACGGCACGCCACCGGCCATACGGGAAAAGGTAGAGAGAGTCAAAGTCCGCTGCGGGGGAAATTTCGGGTTTACACAGGAAATGCTCACAACGACACTGGATGGGCACAATATTTTACTGGGACGTGATTGGCTGCGACGGTATAACCCGCGAATTGACTGGACGACGGGTAGCTGCACCGTGCGAAGTAGTGGTAACTGGGTCGAGCTACCTCGCTGGCAATCGCCCGAGTCTTCAACGGTACACGTCAACGCCATCACAATGAAACGGGCAGTCGCTGCTGGAGCTGACGTGTACGTAGTAGACATCGCAGTAGTAGAGGAAGCAGAGCAGCCGAGTGATTTTAAGAAACTGCTGGCAGCCGTACAGGAACTATTGAAACGATACCCCGGGATTTTTCCCGACGACTTACCAGAAGGACTGCCACCTCAACGAGCACATGACCACCGAATCGAGTTAGAACCGGGGGCACAGCCAACCGTACAGCGCCAGTTCAGACTGACACAGCCCGAGCTCGACGAACTAAGGAAGCAGTTAGATTACCTGTTAGAGAAAAAATTCATCCGACCGAGCTCGTCACCGTTCGCCGCACCGATACTGTTCACACCGAAAAAAGACGGGGGTTTTCGCATGTGTATTGACTACAGAGCACTGAACAGGGTAACAGTCAAATCGCGATACCCCGTTCCCCGCGCCGACGAACTGATCGACCAACTGCGAACAGCACGGGTTTTTTCGAAAATAGATTTACGGGGAGGTTACCATCAGATTAGGGTCGAACCATCAGACTGCGCCAAAACAGCTTTCAGGACTCGGTACGGGTCGTTCGAGTACACTGTGATGCCATTCGGGCTGACCAACGCACCGGCGACTTTTCAGATGACCATGAACGAGGCGTTTAGGCCGCTCTTAGATAAATGTGTGATAGTTTACATTGACGACATCCTGGTTTACAGTCGGGATAAGCAGCAGCACTAAGCAGATCTGGAAGCAGTGTTTAAGGTTTTAGACGAGCATCGATTACTGACCAAGGGTTCCAAGTGCGAGTTCTTCCAGGATAGGTTAGAATTTTTGGGGCACGTTATTTCGGAGGCTGGAGTTGAAATCGACCCAAAGAAGCTGGATACGGTAAAAGCGTGGCATCCCCCAACAAACATCACGGAGCTGCAGAGCTTTTTAGGGTTCGTTAATTATGTACGTCGGTTCGTCCCCGATATGGCACGGTTAACTGCCCCACTGACGGATTTACTGCGGAAAGGGGTCGCTTTTACGTGGGGGGAGAAAGAGCATGCTGCCTTCTCTGCCCTGAAAAATGTTCTCTGTTCACCACCCGTCCTGCGCATCGCCGACCCACACCGCCCATTCGAAGTAGTTACCGACGCAAGCGATATCGCCATCGGAGCCGTACTGCTACAGGATTTCGGCAATGTCCTACAGCCCATCGCATACGAGTCACGAAAACTGCACCCACCCGAGAAAAATTACCCGATACACGACCGCGAAATTCTTGCGATCGTGCACGCGTTCAAAGTATGGCGCTGTTACTTGACTGGCGCGGACGTGACAGTACGGACAGACCATAAATCACTACAGTACCTTCGCGCATAGCCCCACCTCAACCCACGACAGATTCGCTGGCTCGATTTCTTCGAGTCCAATTTTCACTACACGGTCACTTACAAAAAGGGAGCCTCGAACATCGCCGACGCACTGACCGGCCCCACTGCCCAGATCCACGCAATACTACTCGCCCAGACCAGCCCGCTACTGACAAGCCTATTCACCCACGGGTACCAAACGGATCCATTCTTCACAGGAGGAAATTCGCAGCAGTTCGCAACAGCAAGGGGAGTCTATTACGTAAAAACCGGGACTGACTGTATTTGGGTACCTGGGTATACAGTGCTACGGGAATTACTGTTACAGGAGGCACACGACGGAGTCACCTCAGGGCATTTCGGAGTAGAGAAAACACGGCAGCAGCTGCAGCGGTATTATTACTGGCCCGAAATGTTGACCGACGTACAACGACACGTGGCATCGTGTCCCACTTGTCAGCTCATGAAATCATCACGACAGCGGCCGGCGGGACAGTTGCAGCCGATACCACCCCCAGAGCGTGCTTGGCAGCAGGTGACGATGGACTTCGTCACGGGGTTACCAGCCGGGGCGAGTGGGAACGACGCGATCCTGGTCGTCGTCGATCGACTGACGAAAATGGCACATTTCGCAGCCTGCAAAAAATCAATCACAGCCGACGAAACAGCACGCCTCTTCATCTCCACCGTCGTTCGACTGCACGGGATACCAGCCGCGATCATCAGCGACCGTGACACGAAATTCACCAGCAACTTCTGGCGGAACCTGTGGCAGCAGTTCGGCACGCGACTGCAGTTCAGCTCATCATACCACCCCAAAACTGACGGACAGACAGAACGGACAAATCAGACCATGGAACAGCTCATCAGGGCCACGTGTGACGACCCGACCACGTGGGAACAGCAACTGTCACTAATCGAATTCGTGTACAACAACTCGCCATCCGCCACGACCCAACAGTCACCATTTTACCTAAACTACGGACAAGACCCGACAGTACCCATGACCCCGAATCCCGACAACCCAGTCCCACGAGCACAACAGTTCGCCGAAATATTACAAGCAGCACGGACCCGGGCAGCAGACGCACTAAAAAAATCGAACATCATCGCTAAACGCAACGCCGACCGCCACCGCAGACCTGTCACTTACCAGCCCGACGACTTAGTTTTACTTGACACTCAGAACCTCCGACTGCCCCTCACCCCGAAACTCCGCCCCCGATACTGCGGGCCATTTCGCATAAGCCACATGCTCACACCCGTCACCGCCCACCTCCTCCTCCCTGCTGACTGGTACGTCAGCCCCTCATTCCACGTCAGCCTGCTTCGCCCTTACGTCCCGTCCACGAGCCAACTGCCACGCAATCGCCCAGCCAGCATGACAAGACCACCAACTGAACCAATCATCACCCCCGAGAAAATCCTGAGTCACAGAGTTCGCGACCCTCGAGGAGCCCGAAGGATCGAATTCGTACTCCACTAGAAGGACCGTACACCCACCGAAGACAATTGGGTTCCCCTGGACAGAATCGAAAACCACCCCGTCCTTACCGAGTATCTACGCAGCCGAAATTTCAGGGATGTACACGCACTTTCGTAAGAAGGACCTCCTTAGGGGGGGGGGTAGTGTAAGGAAAATTCCTTTTCCTTACTTCGCATCCCTGCTCAACACGTACATCACTGTAGCACCACAGTCAGCACCGTTACCACTCGCAACCCTCGCATTGACAATCCGCCCGCCACCTTCGCACGTCGCACCCCGACCTCACGGCTCAGCAGGTAACCCGCGCTCCGGGCCTCCGCTTCGACATTCTTCCCAACCTCAGTCCCAGGCCCGTCGTGCGACAACCACAGTCCATTACCGTTACCACTGTAGTTTCGCTATATATTCTTCGCTCATGCCTTCGCTCATTGTACTCTTGCTTCGATAGTGCAATTCTCGTTCGTTCACTCAATTGCACTCGTAACACTCTCCTGTCTCTTCCCGAGCCGCAAAATTATTGTGCGAGTTCCATTCCGGCGTGTGTCGCGGCAGGACAGCCCAACATTATTGCCCCTTTCCTTACCTTCCACCCCTCTCAGCCCAAAATTATTGCTGCTCTTTGCACCTCTCCCTTGTGGATGTCGCGTCAGGCACGGGGATTTAGGGATGCGCCTTTCCTCTTAGCAAACTCCAGACGGAATTATAGGAATGCGATCAGCCGCAGCAAACGAGCTCAAATAATACACCTTCTACGCTTTCCGACAAACTGATTCGTCCAGAGCTTGATTGGGCGCTTCGGGAACAAATCCATCCAGAGATACCACTCAAACAAAATTATTTGCCATGGCGCTAGAGGGTTCTCGTCCCTACTACGCGCTGAAACAAGGTGTCGCCCTCAGATCTCGCGAGGCGAAAGGTCCGAACAGATCCTCGACGCGTGCGCATCGCGTTTCAGAGCGATTATTTGGCGAGTCGTCTGCGTGGTTGCAAGAGGAGGCTCAAGAGTCGTGCGGCTCGGGAAATTGCGAAGCGGCGCGAAAATATGATGCGACGCCAGGCTGCGACATCGGCGGGTGGGACGGCGACGAGGGGGAGAGCATGGGCGACAGTGTGGCGTGCGGCGGAAAGAGCGTCAGCGGCTGCCACGTGGCTGACCACGCGGTCTTGCGTAGAATTGACTCTCAGCGCAGCGATACGCCCTCGTTTTTACGACTACCGCCACTGGCCGAACGGATTGCGCCCGGTCCGGTTTTCGGACCGCGTCCGCACCGCGCCGCGACGTGGTCTACGAGTGCGCTCCACTCGAGGGATGAAATCGACGGCGGAGATGAGGGACATGGCTGGCACATGCTAATCAACGGCGACAGTGAGGCCAAACTATCGCCAGGCGCTGCAGGCTGCGACAAGCCGTTCGTCTTCGCTGCGGCGGACTGTGCGAACGCTACGACGCCAGTCGCAGCTATCCCTCAGCTCTCCGCGAGCGACGCAGGCGACGCGACGCCACGTACCGCGACTTACGGAAACTCCGGGTCGTGCCGATCGCCTCGAAATACGTGGCACGACGAGAACCTGCTATGGTCTCCATTCGGCGACTCCTTGATCATGCCGGGCGCTTCGTCGAGACTGTCGCCAACAGTGTCGCCGAGACTGTCGCCACGACTGTCGCTGGCGGCGTTGGATTCCATTGTTTTGGGGGACGAACTGTGGCGGAGCATTGAGCGGCTCGACGGGCGCGCCGACGGCGAAGAGGGATGCGACGACGAGGGGCGCGGCGCGCAAGAGGGGTGCGGTGCGGAGGAGGGTTGCGACTCTGGTAATGACGGCGCGACGCCGTGGGACGACGTGGTGAAGGACCTCTTTCCTGAGCTGCATGCCGCCACCCATGATGCCGCCCATGATGCCGCCCATGATGCCGCCCCGCCACCGCCTCCGCCGCCGCCCACATCGGATATCGTGCTGCAGGTCCCGGCCATTTCGTCTCCCCCTGCGCCCCCCTCCCCTCGCTCCGGCCCCACCTCCCTCTTCGGCTCTCTTCCCGCCGCTAGCATCGGGCCGCCCCCCTCCGCCTGTGCGCGCGCGGATTCCCCGCCACTGGATGCCGCGCAGCTGCCTTCCGCTGGCAGCGAGCCCATGATCGACGCGACGAGGCTCGTGCGCGGGGCGCCGCATACTGGGGGGGCAGCTTTGCCGCTCCTCTGCGCGCGGGCGCCTGACCGCCACGACCGCCGCGCTTGCGCGCTGCTCGCGCTGCCTGCCGCGTCTTCGCGCATCCCGCCTCCGGCAGGCGCGCTGAAACGGCGGGCGGACGAGCTGAGAAGGGGCGAGGGCGCGCGGAGTGGCTTCGCCAAGACCCCGCCTGCCTCGAGAAGCAGCTGCGGCGCCGCTGATGGTCCTGATTGGCAGGACCCCGCCACGCGCACAGGAGGCGGGAGGGTGAGGACTGGCCCGCCCTCGCCCCTCCTTCTCCCACCCCTCGCTCTTCCGCCTTCCTCTCCCCCAGTCCTCAGAACCCCCTCCTCCTCCTTTTCAGCCCTCACGCTCCCGACCCCCCTCGCACTCCCCACGCCATCCACGCCCTTCCCGTCTGACCGCGCGCCCCCTTCCGCCACTGCGCACCCCCCTCACCCCTCACCCGCGCATCTTCCCGCCAGCCCCTCACCTGCCCGCTGCCCTGCCACCTCCCGTTCCCGCCCCTGGCGCAATTACGGGGCGGCTGAGAGGCCAGGTGGCGGAGATTTTGGGGGAACGGCCGTGGGGGGAGGAGCGACCGTGGGAAGAGGAGCAACCGTGGGGACAGGAGCTGCAGTGACAGGGAGAGCAGCAGTGGGCATCAGGAAAATTGTGGGCGCACACACAGTGGCGCTGGGATTGCGAGGAGTGGGCAAGGCAGACGCACCAGCATCCATGGAAATAACTGCACAGGCAGAAGCAGAGGGTGCAGCAGCGGTGGTGACCCCAGTAGCATCGGCAGCATTGGTGGGTGCAACAACCGCAAGAACACCTTCAGATGCAGAAGCAGTGGCTGCAGAACGGGAGACGGCCGCAGCAGCAGCAGCACCTGGGGAAAGAGGAGGGTCAGCAGAGCTTGCTAGGGCAGCAGGCGGGGCAGGCAGCGCTGCAGGCGAGGGGTTGGCCGGGGCAAAGCGGCGGAAGGTGGGGGGTGGGGGACGCGTGTGTATGTCGGCGGAAGCAGCGGCAGCACTGGAGGAATACCGGGAGAAGGCGGCACAGCGGCAGCGGCGAGGCACTGCCATGGACGCCCAGAGCGTGGCTGCTAGACGCAGGAGGGCCAACATCAGCAGCAGAATGGGCGTGCTCAAGGTGTGCAACAATTGTTATCCATTGCGTGTGCGTGTGTCTTTAAGATGAGAGAGCGTGGTGTGGATTCTGTTCTGTCCCAACCAGTCACCGCTCTCCCATCACCTCACCTCTCTCCTTTGTTGCACCCTCACTTGGTCAGGTTTCTCCACCACCTACGACACGCCATACATTCCCATTCCTAACCCTTATCTCCCATCACTCCTCCCCTCTCCCCCTTCCCCCCCCTCCTCGGAATGCTTCCCACCAGTCGTTGGTGCCGGGCAGTGCAAGGCTGGACACGGCATCACTGCTGGAGCGAGCAGCAGCGTACATCGCCTTCCTGCACGACCACTCCCTGGCTGCGGGCGCCGGGCACGCTGACCAGCTGCAAGCACGCTTCACTGACGGGCTGGGTGCCGCGGATGAGGTGTTGGACGGCGGTGGCAGTGACGCCTGTGCTCATGCTGGTGGGGTTGGTGCTGGTAGGAGTGCTGCTGGTGCTGGGAATAGGGATGGAGGTGGTGGTGCAGATGATGCGGACTGCATGGACATCTGAAGACTCACCTCACCGTGCGATGTGATGTGATGTGATGTGATGCCACATGGCATGGCGCAGAAGCTGTGCATCCCATGCACATGGGTTGTGATGCCCATGCCCTGCACGTACATAGGAGTCCGAAACACTCCTAGGTAGCCCGTTCGTGTGCTGACTGCTGCTGGTGTGTGCACACTCTAACACAGCCCCAAGAGCCTTGATATGATAGCCGTCGAGCTGTGGAAATGGTATGCTGAAATCTAGGATGGCATGCAACATTGCATCCAGCATTGAGAGTACCACACCAATATTAATTACAATTAGCCTTTACACCTGCGCCCAAATCAAGCTTCGATACAGTCACACTTTCGGCAGCGAGCGTAGAGGCAGCCCCCGGTGGGAGAAGAGAAAGCGGCGGCGGCGGTGGCCCACCATCATGAGCAGCCCGCCCAGCAGCACCACCGCCACCACTGCTGCCGCCAGCGCTGCACTGCTTCCCATGCCCACCGCCCACATCACCTCATCACTACTCAACACCCCCCCTGCTGCCGCCGCTGCTGCTGCCTGCTGCCGTGAAGGCAGCACCAGAGACGGATCATCTGCCCCCCCTGCCCTGCCTCCCTGCCCTCCCCCCTTCCTCACTCCCTGCTTTTCCGTGGCGTCTCCTCTCTTGCTGCCCCAGTGCCAGGGTAGCCAGGCGGCGAGCCCCGAGGGGTGGGGGGGCGGTGGGGGCAAGGAGCGGGTTTGAAAGATGGAGGGGGCGTGGAGGGAGGGGGGGAGGAGGTGCGGAGCAGGACGTGTAGCAGCGTGGGGCGGCCTGCGAGCACTGTGACGTTGGTGGTGTGGTTGACGTGCCCCGCGTGTGATATGGTCACTGGCACGTAGAGGGGGGCACGTGGAAGCAAGGGGGGACGGGCAGCGGCAGGGGAGTGGGAGTTAGAGACAAGAGGGAGGCATGCAGCGACGTGCCCTCAGAGGAGCGAAGTGAAAGAGAGGGCGGACGTAAAAGAGGCGAGGAAGGCAACATGGCATTGCTGTAACCCGAGAAGAACTCCAACGTAGCATAGGGATTGCACTTCACTGTAGACCTGGCACTGCCATCTCCCCCTTGCTCCGGCCTGGGCCTGATGGTGGGCGCTCCACTATCCATTCCCGCCCCACCCACCCACCATGCCCGCCCCACCCACCATGCCCACCCCACCCACCATACCCGCCCCACCCACCATACCCGCCCCACCCACCATGCCCGCCCCACCCACCATGCCCGCCCCACCCACCATACCCGCCCCACCCACCATACCCGCCCCACCCACCATGCCCGCCCCACCCACCATGCCCGCCCCACCCACCATGCCCGCCCCACCCTCTATGCCGAATGGTGCATGCACCCCGCTTGCATCCCCCTCATGGCCATGCACCCCGCTCTCCTCTAAGCCCCACACACCTGTGCAGTTAGCCCCACACACCTGTGCAGTTAGCCCCACACACCTGTGCAGTTAGCCCCACACACCTGTGCAGTTAGCCCCACACACCTGTGCAGTTAGCCCCACACACCTGTGCAGTTAGCCCCACACACCTGTGCAGTTGGCCCCACACACCTGTGCAGTTAGCCCCACACACCTGTGCAGTTAGCCCCACACACCTGTGCAGTTAGCCCCACACACCTGTGCAGTTAGCCCCACACACCTGTGCAGTTAGCCCCACACACCTGTGCAGTTAGCCCCACACACCTGTGCAGTTAGCCCCACACACCTGTGCAGTTAGCCCCACACACCTGTGCAGTTAGCCCCACACACCTGTGCAGTTAGCCCCACACACCTGTGCAGTTAGCCCCACACACCTGTCCAGTTAGCCCCACACACCTGTGCAGTTAGCCCCACACACCTGTCCAGTTAGCCCCACACACCTGTGCAGTTAGCCCCGCACACCTGTGCAGTTAGCCCCACACACCTGTCCAGTTAGCCCCACACACCTGTCCAGTTAGCCCCACACACCTGTGCATTTAGCCCCACACACCTGTGCAGTTAGCCCCACACACCTGTGCAGTTAGCCCCACACACCTGTGCAGTTAGCCCCACACACCTGTGCAGTTAGCCCCACACACCTGTGCAGTTAGCCCCACACACCTGTCCAGTTAGCCCCACACACCTGTGCAGTTAGCCCCACACACCTGTCCAGTTAGCCCCACACACCTGTGCAGTTAGCCCCACACACCTGTGCAGTTAGCCCCACACACCTGTCCAGTTAGCCCCACACACCTGTCCAGTTAGCCCCACACACCTGTGCAGTTAGCCCCACACACCTGTCCAGTTAGCCCCACCCGAAACCCAACTGCATTGGCAGCCCCCTTCCCCACCTGCGTCAGCCCCCCCAAACCTGCGTCAGCCCCCCCCACCTGCGTCAGGCCCCCCCACCTGCGTCAGCCCCCCCCCACCTGCGTCAGCCCCCCCCACCTGCGTCAGCCCCCCCCCACCTGCGTCAGCCCCCCCCCACCTGCGTCAGCCCACCCCCACCTGCGTCAGCCCCCCCCACCTGCGTCAGCCCCCCCCACCAGCGTCACCCCCCCCCCACCTGTGTAGTTCCCTGGCGGCAGCAGGCGGTAAAAGTCCCCAAAGCGCTTTGACGCCATCACCTGGGGGCGATGGATGGGGGGAGATGGACGTGATAGCGGGGGGCGGATGGGGGGAGATGGATGTGTAGTGTTAGCCGCGGGATGGATGGGTGGGGGGAAGGGGATGAGTATAGGGGCATGGGCATGGGGAGGGGCATGGGGAAGGGTATGGGGAGAGGCATGGGGAAGGGTATGGGGAGGGGCATATGGAGGTGCCTAACTTGGAAAGTGAAGTACACGATTTTTGTATAATACGCTAAAGAGAAATGGGGTGGGGATACACTGAATACGGAGGCTCAGGCAGGCTAAGAAAAGGAGTGGGATTCGGGTAAGGAGGGGGAGTGGGAGGGGTGCAAAGCAGCATGAATCCGCATTTGCAGATACGTTTCTTTTTTTTTTGCGCAAGCGTATTATACGAGAAAGGCTTATCTGCCAACGTAGGTTGAGGATTTGGTAGAAGGCCAGTGAATGCAAGGATAGGTGGGGGAGAGACAGGAAGTGACAAATAAGATGAGCAGAGCGCTGCTGTGACGGGGCTCTATGGATGTTCCGCTGATGCATGTGGCCAAAATCATGATGCTGTCCTTGTTGGCCATGCACCCATGCAACCAAGCAACCTTGCACCCATGCACCCATGCACCCCCATGCCCCCATGCACCCCCATGCACCCCCATGCCCCCATGCACCCCCATGCACCCATGCAACCCCATGCGCCCATGAACCCATCCACCCATGCAGCATGCGGTGACGGCGACAGGAGTGCAGGAAGAGAGGGGCAGAGCGGCTGACCTGGATGTCAATCCCATGCACAGTGATGCTGGCAGGCAGGGGCGCCGAGGTGGCTGCACACTGCACCGTGCCCTGCACGCCCATCTGCTCGCCGCCCTCCCCGATGTGGTGTGGTGTGGTGTGGTGTGGTGGACGGCAGTATGGTAGGCAGCATGAGGGGGCAGGCCGGGGCAGTGGCAGAAGAGGAGATGGGCATGCGGGCAGGCATCAAGACAGGGCAAGAGAAAAAGGGTGTTGGATGGAGGAAGGGACGTGTTGGAGGCATCTGGTGTCGCATGGCATCAAAGGGAAGTCATCATAGGGCTCGGATCTTAAGCCATGGCACCACATGGCATGGTGCATCACATGGCACCACTTGGCATGGTGCATCACATGGCACCACATGGCGCAGTGTGTCACATGGCATGGTGGAAAATGAAGTACTCGTGATGAGCGCTGGAAAGGGTGTTCACACTGCGCTCATAATGAGTGGCACACTGCACGTCATGGCATGACATCGTGGCATGACATGGCATGGCGGGCATGGCATGGTATGGTGGGTATGGCATCGCATGGCGGGCATGGCATGGTGCAGCATGGCGTGAAGAGCGCACCTTGGCAGTGGTGGTGAGGAGGGCGAGCAGGGCCGGTCGGTGCTCCTCCCACAGCTGAGGCAGCTGCTCACCACGTAGGGTTGTGGCATGGGGGGCAGAGCCGAGGGGGGCACAAGGAGAGATGTAGCAGACAACAGGAAAGGGGAAGCAGAGAGGAAAAGGTGAGAGGGGAAATTGAGAGGGGAAGGTGAGAGGTTAAGGTGAGTGAGAGGGGAAGATGGGAGGGGATGGTAGGGACGACGAAAATGGTGCGGAGAATGCAACAGAAAGAGCACTGAATGGGGGGGTGTGAGATGGAAGAAAGCAGGGAGAATGCGGGTAGGTGCATTGCAGAGGAAATGGGAATGCATCAGTGGCGCATCCCCCGTTCGTTCGCCACCACTGCGCGTGCGCCACTGTGCCCCACGTGCATTAGTCGCCTGTTGCTCAGATTCGTATTCCGCTCCCTGCCTCGGCCCCTGCGCTCTTTTCTAGTTGTCTTCTAACCTCAGTCTCCAAGCCGCGTTTTCGTTCCTAACGTGTTGTGCCAGTTCGCATTCGGTCTTGATGTAATTGTATGTCGACCAAAGCTTCGCCGTGGATTTGATTATGATATGAATGTTATTTGTTGGTTCCACAGCGTTGTTCCCTTAACAGTTTTTATCGTTTTGCGACGTATGTTGTTTGTGCGTTCATGCAGCATCCGATGAGTCTTCATAGACATATTGCCTTCGTGTTTTTGGCGTCAGGGGGCCTGCTGCGCTTAAGAATCATTTGTCTTAGTGAGTTTCTCCCTCAACGTTTACCGTTCACCCATCGTGCACCCGCCACTGGGAGAAACTCACTGAGTGCGCAATGGGTGAACGGTAAACGTTGAGGGATAAACTTACTAAGACAAATGATTCTTAAGCGCAGCAGACCCCCTGACGCCAAAAGCACGGGGGAAAGATTCCAATGAATATTCCCCGAATGATGCATGGACGCGGAAACAACAGACGTCGCAAAACAAGAACAAACGCTGAGATAACTCTGTGAACGAACAAATAACATTAATAACATAATCAAAATCCAGGGCGAAGCTTCGGTCAACTTACAACTACATCAGAACCGATTGTAAAATGGCACGACACATTAAGATCGGAAACGCGGTTCGGAGACCGAGGTTAAAAGGAGTCTAGAAAGGAGCGCGAGGGCCGATGCAAGGAGCAGGATAAGAATATGAGCAGCAGGCGAGGTACGCACGTGGATGCAGTGGCGCATGCGCAGAGGCGGCGAACGAACGGGGGATGCGCCACTTATGGTATTAGCTGCATAGACTACTGTTTTTTGGATAGAGATAAGCACCCAACCCTAGTTTGGGTATATAGCCAGGGTTCACCTTGGTTGTGGTTATCTTGACAAAAAAATCAAGGTTCCAAAGGATTGTTGTGTTGGGAGCTGATTGACGGCAAAGTGATAAGCTCAATATTCAGTAAGAGGGACCTCCGTCGTCGACCAAGACAAGTGGGGAAACCAATTCTCAATATATATCTCACAAGGTGGTCGCAAGAGGGCGGGCACACAAGAACAGGGGCTTCCACAGCAAGGGGGCGGGTATACGAGGAAGGGCAAGGTCCCAAATGATTAATCTCACAAGAGCAGCGGCAAGAGGGTGGAGGCCGTAAGGGGCGTACGGGGAAGGGCGAGGGCGTACGAGGAAGGGCGAGGGCATACGAGGAAGGGCCTAGTGATCAATCTCACGACAGCAGAGCAGCAGCAAGTGTGCAGTGGGCATGGGGCATACGAGGAAGGGCAAGGGCAGACAAGGGCATCCTAGAACAACAGCAAGAGGGTGGGCGGGGCCAAGGGGCATACAAGGAAGGGCGAGGGCCACTTGGCGATGTGCAGCTCGAGGGTGATCTCCATGCAGCGCGCCTCCACGTAGTTCCAGTCCTGCATGCCCCCGTACAGCGGATACCTGCGCGCATGGGCGGGTGCGTACACATGGCCGCATGGTCGGGACATGGCGGAGCATGGGGGAGGCATGGGGGACGCATGGGGGAGGCATGGGGGAGGCATGGGGGAGGCATGGGGGAGGCATGGCGGAGGGATGGGGGAGGCATAGGGGAGGGAGGCATGGGGTAGGTGTGGGTGGGCATGGGCGAGGCATGGAGGAGGCTTTGGGCAAGGCATGGGGGAGGGAGACGTGGGGTAGGTGTGGGGGGACATGGGAGGCGATAGGTTACGTATGGAGGAGGAAAGGAGACAAGAGGTGGCACCATTCAGCAATCTTTCCCAGGCCCCCACCCACTATTGCACTCAACTCCGCCCAACCACCACCGCCCTCTTCACCAACCACCACCGCCCTCTTCACCAACCACCACCGCCCTCTTCACCAACCACCACCCTCTCCCTCTCCCTCTCCTGCCCTCTTCCCCCCCAGCCCTCTCCCCTCCCTTCTCCTCCCCCACCCCCAGCCACTCCCCCCTGGGCGCGGTACCAGGAGGCGCCGTTGGTGATGCCGCCGGGGAAGTCACACGAGAGCGCCATGGAGGGGTGGCTGGCGGCATAGGTGGCTGCCCCCTCTCCTCACGCACCCCCCCATCCCCACCCACCCTCCCCCTACCACACCAACCCTCTTCTCCCCCCTCTCTGCTGCCCACCAGGAGGCGCCGTTGGTGATGCCGCCGGGGAAGTCACGCGAGAGCGCCATGGAGGGGTGGGCAGTGGCGTACGTGGTGGCCATGAGGCGGAACGTGGCGTCGTCTGGCGATGCAGCGTAGTGCGTGCTGCTCTGGTGGCACGGGGGCGAGGGGGTTTGGCGGGAGGGGGGTTGTTGGGGGGTGAGGGAAGAGGATGGGGGAGTTGGAATGGGAGAGATGGGTTGGAATGGGAGAGATGGGTTGGAATGGGAGAGATGGGTTGGAATGGGAGAGATGGGTTGGAATGGGAGAGATGGGTTTGTGGGATGACGATGAGAAGGGGAGAGTGATGTGGTTGAGTGGAGGGAGGGAGGGGAGTGTGGGGAGAAAAGGGGAGGGGGAGGCAGGATAAATCAATGACAGCAGAGGGAACAGGAAAACGGATGCAAGATAGGAAAGATGGAGGCACAGGGCGATGCATGGAGGCACAGGGCGATGCATGGAGGCACAGGGCGATGCATGGAGGCACAGGGCGATGCATGGCAGCACATGGTTGGGGTGGGCAAGGGCGGTACCCTTTGTCCTTAGTGCCGTCCCATGCATAGCTCGCCACCAGTGCTCCCTGTGTGGGGGACAGGGGGGACAAAGGGGAGTTGTAACTTGGGAACGATGAAAGGGGGACTCACGGGAGGCGGGAAGAGTGCACAAGTTGAACGGCGAGAGAAAGAGTAGGCGCAGCAGCAGCAGCAGCAGCAGCAGCAGCAGCAGCAGCAGCAGCAGCAGCAGCAGCAGCAGCAGCAGCAGCAGCAGCAGCAGCAGCAGCAGCAGCAGCAGCAGCAGCAGCAGCAGCAGCAGCAGCAGCAGCAGCAGCAGCAGCAGCAGCAGCAGCAGGAGTTGGATAAAGCACGTGGGTCTCTCGAACGCACGCTCTAGTGCAGTGCAATGCACCTGAACCCCAAACTTCAACTGTGGGGGTTGATCACGTACCAGCATGACACGGCAACTATCATCCCCTTCCCCCATCCCTAGCCCACCCCCTGCTGCACTCACCCCCTGCCCTCTCACCCCTCACCCCTCAACTCTCACCCTTCACCCTTCACCCCTCCCTTCATCCCCCTCTCCCCAACCCCCTCCACCCTCCCTCCCCCCAACCCCCTCCACCCTCCCCCCAACCCCCTCCCCAACCCCCTCTCCCAACCAACCCCCCCTTCCGCCCCCCCCCTCCCCCCCCTCTCCCCCTCACCCCGTGCAGGCTAGCAGAGGCGCTGAAGTGGTGGCGCTGTGTCCACCGCATCACGGCGCGCACCTCCGCCTGCCGCCCCGCCTCCTCCGCATTCATCTCCGCGAACCACTGCCTTGCGGGGCGCCCCCACAGGAGAGAAGCGGGATAGAAGGGGTGGGAAGAGGTGGGGGGCAGAGAGAGGGGGAGAAGTATGGGGGAAAGAGAGAAGGGGGGAGAAGGGGAAGCTCAAGGTCCAGATCTAGGCCTGATGGTCCAGTCCAGTGTCAAGCGTCTAAATAGTGCGTGCGGATGCTGGACGCTGGACCATCAAGAGCACGGGAACAGCCCAACGGAAACATAAATAGCGTGACGCGAAACCACAATTCGCGAAAACGGGATCGAGAGAGCGAGGCATGGGGAGGGGCGGGTGCAGCGAGGCATGGGGAGGAGGCACAGCGCACTGACGTGGTCAGGGAAGGCGCGGTTGAGGTCGACTCGGTTGGCGTTCTCCCTGGTGTGCAGCGTGAAGCCATCGGGGTTCATGGCTGGCAGTAGGTGCAGCTCCACCCCCTCCACCACCTCCCTCGCCTGCTTTGCTCCTTGCCATGCCACCGCAACACACCGCAGCACACCGAAGCACACCGCCGCACACCCACCAAGCAGAACACAGCAGAGCACAGCACACCCACCGCGCCACATGCACCATGCCACAACGGAAAACTCACCACACGCCACAACTACACCACCACACAAAGCACACCCACCACACACACTACTTCCACACTCCACTCCCTTTCCCAACCCATTCCAGACGTTCCAATCCTTCCCACGTTGACCATTCCAGCATGTTTCGTGTTCATGCCCATGCACGTCACATCTGCTCCCCCCCCCCCCCTCCACCTCATCCCACTCATTCCCACCAGCCCGCACCGCACAGCACACAAGCATGCGACACACAATCGCGGAGTTGCCCAAACACGGTGTTGCCCAAACACGGTGTTGCCCAAACACGGTGTTGCCCAAACACGGTGTTGCCCTGGCATACAGCCAGGCAACACCAGTTCATGTCCACCACTCGTGCACACATGCATGCATGCATGCACGTGCACATGCACATACAGAAACATATGCACATGCACATGCAGAAACACATGACCGCAAACGCACATACGCACAAGAATTAATTGCTTCGCATCAGTCTCACAGGATAATGTTATTGTTTGTTTCTCGAAATAATAAAGCCAACCAATAGCTGACATCAAAGATGGGAAGGAAGGATACTGGGGGAAAGTCATGGCACGGCAGCTTGAGGCCATTCGCACTCACAAGGGGGCGCAATCACAAGGAGTTGCACTCACAAGGGGGTGCACTGCACTCACAAGGGGGTGCGAAGGATAGTTGTTGCACAGCCAGTCCGCGAGGTACAGCAAAAGCTGCCGCCCCAGCGGTTCGTCCCCATGCACGCCGCCTATGTACTGCGGGGACGGAGGGAGCGAGGGAGCGAGGGAGGGAAGGGTGGGGACGGAAGTCAGGACCATTGGCGCACAAGGCATGCGCACACATCAACTGGGAGGGACGGGCCGGCCCAGATCAACGCAACCTCGGTGGGGTGGGGCAGAGGAACTGGCGCAATGGAAGATTTGCTCGACTGAAACTGAGATGTTCTTTTCATATACGAGGGCACATAACAACTGGCTGGAACAAACACAACACAGATGTCAGCTTTCATTCATATCTGTAGCGACAATTCACAATCCCGCATTTTGGTGTGAAAGCTCGTGACAAGAAGAAAAGCAAGGGCACCTTGAATGTGAAGCGAGGGCGCTTTTCAGTTGGGTTCAAAGTAATGAGCAGCACCCACTGGCACACACACAGCAGACACAGGGGTGGTGATGGGCGCACAGGGGTGATGATGGGCGCACAGGGGTGATGATGGGCGCACAGGGGTGATGATGGGCGCACAGGGGTGATGATGGGCGCACAGGGGTGATGGTCACATACGAATGGAAGGTGGAGGCAAGAGGAATGCGCAGCAGTTGGGTGGGGAGGGGGGGAAGCGAGATGACACGGTACAAGAACAAAATGGCGGGCAGCAAGGATGGGAGAATGCGGGGATGTGTTGACTCTGAATCGCATGTCACGCATCAAAGCAGTCGGCTTTCCGGCGTTCCAGGCCAAAGCTGGATGATTAACTCTCTCCTTGATACCACCAGCACACAAGGGACATGTACAAAACAACACGCATGCACCCACTATGTGGGCCCCATCCCATCTAATCCCTTCACTTCCACTCACATACGTCATTCTCCCACCCTCCCTTAACCCCCACTCCTCCCCTTCACTCCCACTCCCACTCCCACTCCCGCCTTCCACTCTCCCAACTTTCAGCTCACCAGAGGCACGCCCAGCACACTGCGGCCGATGCTGCAGGGGGGAATGAATCGAACAACATGGGGATGTGACGCAGGAAGGGTGGAGGCACGAAGAATCGAAATCAGAGGAGAAGAGTGAAAGCAGCAAAGAAGAGTGAAAGCAGCAAAGAAGAGTGAAAGCAGCAAAGAAGAGTGAAAGCAGCAAAGAAGAGTGAAAGCAGCAAAGAAGAGTGCTCTAGGTCTGGAAGCGACGAGAGAAGGAACCAAGAGAGTTGAGTGCAGGGCGGGTGGCAGCAATAAGCCGTCCACATTGTGACAGTTGACTAGTGCATTCGCCTAGAGGCGTGCCATGTGGCTGCATCACCCACCTATAGAGGCGTGCCATGTGGCTGCATCTCCCACCTATAGAGGCGTGCCATGTGGCTGCATCTCCCACCTATAGAGGCGTGCCATGTGGCTGCATCTCCCACCTATAGAGGCGTGCCATGTGGCTGCATCTCCCACCTATAGAGGCGTGCCATGTGGCTGCATCGGTCCACATAGGCCCTGAGGAACGCCTCTAGCTCACTGTTGTCTAGATACCACCGCTGCACCTCCGCACCCCCCCCTTGCTGCTGCTGCTGCTGCTGTTGCTGCTGTTGATTCTGCTGCTGTGGAACAGACGACCTGTGGGTTCCCAACCACAACCCGAATGGCATGAATGATGACGACACATGGACGGCTTGGTGTCGGATGGGATGCAGTGTGTTCGGATGGGATGCAGTGTGTGTTCGGATGGGATGCAGTGTGTTCGGATGGGATGCAGGGTGTTCGGATGGGATGCAGTGTGTTCGGATGGGATGCAGTGTGTTCGGATGGGATGCAGTGTGTTCGGATGGGATGGGTTAAATGAGGAATATGGAAAGACGAGATGCGACGACTCGAGGCTTTAACAGAGAGAAGCAGCAAGGCAGGAAGCAAGGGAGAAATTGACAATATGGAGAAAAAAAGGAGGGGGGAGAGGGGAGTGGGGAGGGGGGAGTGGGGAGGGAAGGAGCGAGGGGAGGATGGGGAAGTAAAGTGCTAGAGTGGGCGAAGGGAGGGATAGAGGAAGGGAAAAGTATGCAGGTGTGGAGAGAGCAAGGAGAAGCGTTGCACGACAACGAAAGGGGCAAGAGAAGCGTTGCACGACAACGAAAGGGGCAAGAGAAGCGTTGCACGACAACGAAAAGGGCAAGAGAAGGGTTACATGACAACGAAAGGGGCAAGAGAAGGGTTACACGACAACGAAAGGGGCAAGAGAAGGGTTACACGACAACGAAAGGGGCAAGAGAAGGGTTACACGACAACGAAAGGGGCAAGAGAAGGGTTACACGACAACGAAAGGGGCAAGAGAAGGGTTGCACGACAACGAAAGGGGCAAGAGAAGGGTTGCACGACAACGAAAGGGGCAAGAGAAGGGTTGCACGACAACGAAAGGGGCAAGAGAAGGGTTGCACGACAACGAAAGGGGCAAGAGAAGGGTTGCACGACAACGAAAGGGGCAAGAGAAGGGTTGCACGACAACGAAAGGGGCAAGAGAAGGGTTGCACAACAACGAAAGAGGCGGGGGCATCTGGAGGCGAGGTGCAGAGGAAGCACCAACCATGGGAGGGGGGTGGTGGTGGCGGCTCCGTTAAGAGGCGTCTGCTGCATCCCTGCAGGGGTGGGCCATACACGGGGCAGAAGTGGACAGACGAAGACGGAGATACAGACTTGGCGAGGCAGGGCTGACGGACGGAGGACGGAGGCGTGGCATGGAGTCGAGCCGACTGACAGCCGCCAATTTTCCCCTCGCCTCGCAGTCCCCGCGCTACCCTTCGCTACCCCGCGCTACCCTTCGCTACCCCGCGCTACGCCTCGCCACCTCGCCGGCCTTACCTGTCCCTGCTGCGCCGTGCTGCTGAGCATGCACGCATTCCCAGCGGCCCCGCGCCGCCAGGAGCACCACGCCCAGCAACAGACGCAGCGCGCGATGAAATCGACTCCCGTGCGCCACGCCCGCGGAGGGTACTTGCAGCGGCGGGAAAATCAACCCCATGATCGCTATCCGCGCAGATGAACGAGGCCGCTGGTCGCGGGGAGATCAAGCGCGTGAGCGCCAGAGAGGCGTCGCTTGCGCTACAGGCATTGCGCAGCCCTGCACGATCGCCGGTGCGCCAACACACCAGTCACAGCTCCACCTGTGGCCCTCCACGGTGATACTGCGATCGCGACAGCTCGAATGCGGCAGCGCGATGGCTATTCGACCATAAAGGACAGCACACCTGGATAGCGCGATGGTTATGTGACGAGTGCGACGAGCTGTGATGGTCGACTCGACCTGACAAGCAGGCTTACCACTCCTATGATCGGAACACCTAATCTGAAACTCAGCAGCTGCTTCGAACCCGTTGTTGGCTTCTCGCCGACTACTGTAAAGGACCTGACTTTCGGGAGGCCAGAGCCTCGTCGAGCGATAGGACAGTGGTGCAGGTGGTAAGCGAGGCGAGGCGACAGTCTAAAATATGACAACGGCTGGTGTGGCTCGTGTCGTGTCACAGCAACCCCAAGGGTCGAACCTACCACTAAAGTACGAGCTGAGTACGTGTAAGGAATTTTCTCGACATTCCTTACCGCGACCATCAACATTGCGTACAGCAGCGGCCGTTGTTCGCCGTCACTGCTAACGGGGTGTTATGAGTTGTACGAAAGAAGAGTGAGCAGAATGCAATATCGCGGAATTGATTACCGTCATCGCCCGGAAATAAGACAGTATTGAATAGTAGACAGGGGTTGTCTACTATACGGGTGTCTCTTATAAACAGGCTAGCCTTTTTATACGACACCTATTTGTGTGTACGAGAGAAGACATATATGTCTTATAATCAGAACCAGGGTTTAGGGGTTTTCTTATAAACAGGGGGTGTCTTCTAAACGAGATTTCCTTACTTTACGGGGGTACATGCATACAGTCATAAATCTCTACTTCTACCTAACCCCCCTCATTCACCGCCTCCTCACCTGCACTAACAACAGGCTCTACACCCAGGTCTGGCACTCGCCAGGCATGCCTAGCCGTCTCCCTAGGCTCGATCATGCGGTCAGCTTCGGCCGCCGCTCCGCGGTAGTTGGGGGTCTCCTGGTACAGCACCTCCAAGCCGGTTGCCACGGCCACCTCCCGTACGCCCTCCGCCTGCATCGCCTCCTCCTCCTCCTCCTCTGGAGCCCGACCGAGCAGGCGCGTGTTGTCGCCTGTGGTCCCCCCGAGGGATATGTCCGCGGAGACATCGGTGGTGCTCCTGGCGCGCAGGTGAGACATCACCAGGTGGTTCTCCGTTCCGTCCAGCTTGCTTGAGATCCCACAGTGGCGGAACGCGTCGATGATGATCTGCTTGGGGACTTGATCCCAAGCCTCCGCGATCCACTGCAGCACCACGGGGTGCGGAGGCCTTCGCAGGTTCCCTGCGGGTGGGACAGAGGGCGGGGCAGCGAGATGTTAGAGACACGGATATGAAGGAGCATGTTTAAGACAAGGACAGGAAACAGAACAGGCATAAAACCGTAAATGAAGGACCAACTCACCCTTCTTCGTCTTCAAGTGAATACCTTCACGCATGAACCACCTGGCATAGCGCGCTCGCACAGCAGCCTTGAAGCACCGGTTGATGGAAACGTCCAGGGGTTGAATCTGGCTCGTACAACCCGCGGGGATGACTGCAGGGGTGATGATGTGCGTGCGGTACGACTGAAGCATGGTCTGGGTGATGTGACCGCGGTAGGAGTCCAACACCAGCATCGCCCGCCTTGCGTTCTGGCCGCGCTGGGGGTTCAGGTGGGGCAGCACCTCCTTGGACAGCCAGGTCTGGACAGCGCTCTCGTCCATCCACCCGTTGTCCTGTGCTTGGACCACGATTCCTGCCAGGCACACAAGGGACAGACGGGCATCAGCACAGTGGGGCACGCTCATCAGGCAGTCGCCGCGTTGAATTCATTATGCTTACCTTCCAGAATCTCACAGTTGGGGACGCTCTTCATCTTGAACCACACCCACGGTCGCAGCTTCTCCCCGGATACAGTGCACGCGAGCATCACCGTCAAGCACGTCTTCTGGTAGCATGCAGTGCGGATTGGGACCGAGCGCGCGCCACGGTGCTCGATCGTCCGTCCGGCTGGCATCTCCACGAATAGTGGAGTCTGGTCCGCGTTGATGATGCGGGCCAAGTCGATGTTGTGCCGCGCCCTGTTGATGCGCACAAACTTCCAGAAGGACTCGCAGTCCTTCGCGCACTCTGCAAACGGGACAAGCGCAACGGAAGCACGTGATGGTTAGACACTGGGTGAGGTACATACATTCAATAGCGCGACACGAAATCCTTCAACACGCACCTGCCGACAGACGTTGGCCGACCTTGGTCTTCACCCGCATCACCAGGTTCCAGCGGTCACGGAAACGCTGGCTCCAGTGAGAGCTCGCGTTCTAGTTCTTGCCGGGGTAATGCTTCTTCATCCACTCGCGGCTCCACTTCTGGGTGTCCTTCACCGAGATGGCCACCCCGTTAGCGCGCTGAAGGCAGATGTAGCGGTACAACGCTGCCTCCATGTCGGGGTAGTGTGAGTGGCGCCCCCCCCCCCGTGCATCCGCTTGCGGCAGTTAGCCGCGCCCTTGTAGACGCCCACTTCCGCCTCCGCACACCAACGTCTGATGTAGGCGATGGACGCGGTTGACTCCACGCTCGTCTTCTTCAAGGAGCCGAGCTCCTGATAGCGGTGCGCCCACTTAAGCTTCTCACGCACGGTCCAACTGCGGCGCTTCTTCGTAGTGTCTTTGCTGCGAGGGGAAGGTGGGCGGGTGTTGGGATTATGGAGGGTGGGGTCCTTCGGCGTGACCTTCTCAAGGAACGTGGGAATTGGGCCCGCCGCCGCCGCGTACTCATCGTCGCTGCCCAGCGTCTCGTTCACGACGATGTCGTCAGGATTCGGCGCCTTCTTCTTAGCCGCACCCTTGCTGGATCCCGGGTCTCCGTCGGATGTCCGCTTCTTGTTGCTTGTGCGGCGACGAGCAGGGGCCTTAGTAGGGGCCTTAGCAGGGGCTTCCGCAACCTTGGCTTTCCCCTTCTCCGCAGCGGTAAGTATCGGGCGATGCTCCTCCCCCGGACCGTCGTCGTCAGAGAGCACCACGCGGGCCCGCTTCGACTTGGACTGTAGGCGATGGCGCAGCCTCCGCTTCAGTAGCGGAACGTCGTCGTCGGTCCCAAGGCTCCATGGGTCGTGGTCGCCGCCTTCCTCGTCAAATAAGACGGCATCCGCAGCAACCTTGTCCGACTCCGCCACAGCATCCGCATCCGCAATTGTGGCCGCATCCGCAGGCGCAACTGTCTCAAGTTCCGCCCCCGCCTCGTCGTCAGCCTCCTCATTTGCATCCATCGCCGCTTCCTGTGCATCCGCCGCTGCCTCTGCGTTGTCACCATGCGCATTTTCACCTCCGTCGTTGTCGAAATCACCAGCCCGCCACTCTTCCACCTCGTCGTCGCTCCCGACCGGCCGATTCCACCAGTCGTCCTCCTCGATGTCGGCAGGACCTAAATTCGTCGCCCGAAGCGCTGTCCTCGTGGCCGTTCTCCGGCCAATCCTCCTCGGCGTCGTCGGCGTTCGCTTCGTCTCCATCGTCCCTGTCACAGCTCGCACCGGAGGCGGCGGTAGGACTTCCCGCCTTGCTCGCGTTCTTCGCCATGGCTACACGGATGTCATCGCCGGGCGAGTTAATTCGCCCGTAGTTATTCACCTGCACGTGAGGACGAGGTGAGGACTTGCCTACTGGTACTTTGCTGCGCATGGTTAGAGAGCCTGCCGAGAGCAAGGTTGAGACTGTCAGTAGAGCTACACTGTGAGATCCCCGATCGATCCTAGGGGGGTTACAGGCGCGTTTGCCTGGGGGGTTATGGGCGCACTGACCCGCTACTGAAACAAGCCCTTTTATCCCAATGGTCTAGTGGTTCTGACAGAGACGAGTATTCAACCTCCTTGAGCACGAAATGAAGTGAGAGCCCGACTACCCCCCCCAGCCAGAGTGCCCCATCCACATGTGCCGAGCCGCTCCTCTACGAGGCATCTCCTCGTAGAGGACAGCCCTCACGCTGCCAACGTGCTGCCAGCAGCGTTCTGGAAGCATTCCTGCGCTGCTGGTAGCAAAACGACGCTGGCAGCATCATTAGATGCTGCCAGCACAGAGGAATGTTGCCAGCGGTGGCAGCTCCCTCACGTGGCAAGTGTGGGCGCTGCATGCATCACCACCGAGGTCGGCCTGTTTCAATGAATCTGGTCCTTGGGTGGTTTCTACACACTTTGCAGGTGTTACAGTCAACTTATTTTTTTTTCTATTTATAAGACATATAAGACACCCTAAACCATCCCATTTACAAGATAACTCAAGCATTTTTGCCCGTGTACGAGATAAGACATATATGTCTTATATCCGGGCGATGACGGTACAACTACTGAGCAAACAACGAGGCCTAGGACTAATATAGCCATCATAGCTAGGCCGAAGTCGTGGAGTCGCGAGATGGTTGGGTGCACGCTTGGGGTTGGGAAACCCGAAGGCGACGCGAGGTATGTTCGGCAGGCGAAGTCGTCGGGCCGAGCCTGAACTCCGAAAGTTGGAATTGTATGCGTACGGGACTTCGCCTGAACTCAGTAAGGAAATAGTTACACGGGGCTTCGCCAATTTCGCGTGCACTGTTTCACCAAACCATGCACCGCTGGCCCCGCCGAGTCGGCCTACGCTTTGGGGCTAGCCCGAACCTCGATGCCAGCCTAGCACTACCTAGCTCGCACGCGCCGCGTAACCGTTCCATGTTTTCGCACATAAGTATTCGCTCATACTTTGTACTTTTGATCCACACAGTGTAATCCTCGCTACGTCGTCCTATTGCACCCGTAACACTTGGTCATCATAGCCACTTTCTTTCGGACCACACATCTCCGCACCCCAGGAAAGCAACTTTTGATTTTTTATCGAAGGAACTCACGCCCCTTAGCACTTAGGAGCCGCTGTCCTCGCGTTC